TGGCAAACCTACAGGTGAGCTGTGCAGTGTTTGGCCATGGCCACTTGAATCCACTGTAGGGCATGGCATGCCAGGAGATGTGGAAACTCTGGGCACCTCTACTCAGACCTGAGGTGTCAAGGGGCCCTTTGTAGTCCTTCCCTCATGGGAAGGTGGGAGATGTCGGTGAGGCACCTGGTACCCACCCTCTCCCAGGCTTTGTGCTAAGATCTCTCCCCACACTAACCCCTGTCCTTCAGCAGTGTGGGGATGTTTGGGCACATCTGTAATCTCTGGCCAGGCTCAAAGGTGGAAGGCAGTGTCCGCATCCAGCCAGAGGAGAGCTGTCTACAATTGTAGAGTTTGGTTTGTTGCTCGCTGAAGATGGTCCCCCTGGGAGAAATGTGTGCTGGGTGGTGGCCTGTGAGCAGACTTTGCCTCAGTTGACCTTGTTGACCTGGGCCCCAAGGCAGGGGCTGGGGTTCTGGGCAGTCGTTTGTCCTTGCTGTGGTGGTGGTGGTGGCCGGGGGGCATCCCTTCCCCAGCTTCGAGAGTGCCCTGGCCCTCACAGGCCTCCCCCTCTTCTCTTGCAGTACGACGATGGCAGTGGCATGAAGCGAGAGGCCACTGCAGATGACCTGATCAAGGTTGTGGAGGAGCTGACACGGATCCATTAGCCAAGGGCAGAGGTCCCCTTTCCTGACCCCTTCCCAAGGCTTTGCCTTCCTGACCCCCTCCTCTTCCCACCATTGTCTTCTTGCCCACGGGAGGCCTGTCCCTAAGCCAGCTGCCCCACAGCCATGGTTCACCTGTGTGGAAATGGGTTTCTGAGGATTCCAGTGGTTCAGCAGAGACCTGGGAATGGGCTGAAGGTGGAATATTTTCTCCCTGGATTTTTACCAGTCTCATGATTCCAGCCGGCACCTTGGGCCACCACTGGTGTTGCCAGTTATCCTTCCAGGGAGGGATTTTTGGTTCTTTGGCTGGAAGGAAGCTGTGTGTGTGTGTGCGCGTGTCTCACACTCAGCATTGTCCTCTACTGTGTTTTTATTTAGATGTGGGTGTGGGGAGGTTGAGGGTAGGGGAAGAGGGTCAGGAGGGCTTCATGGTCTTTGAAGTGAGAGCTTCCTTTTACTTTCTTCTGTTGCCTCTGAGAGCATCAAGTCTGGGGGCCTGAGCACAAGACCGGGGACTGCCAGAGTGTAAACCTGGAGATGGATGGTGGGTGACCCCCACGCCCCTAGCCCTTTTGTCTCTGGGAGCTGCCTCCTTCAGAGAGAAGGAGGTGGGGGGCTATGACTTGATTGTTAGTTTCTGAGTTTTACCAAATAAAGTAGAGTCTAAGACAAAAGAGATCTTTGTTTCTGCTTTCCTTCCCTCTGTCCAGCATCCTGGGTGGGCCCTGCCCATTGTCTGCACCCTGCGGCAGTGCTTCGCTTTTCTGGCAGCCACTGTGGTCCCTTGTCCTTGCTGTTAGACGAGCTCCTCTTGAGTAGTGAGGCGCCATCTCTGTGTCTCCGTCACGTGATTGTTTCTGGGGGAATCCCAAGGATGACGGGTGTCAGAAATTCAGTTGTCTTTTTAGTCGCCCTTGACTTGAGAGTCACCGTTTGATTCTCAGTGGCCTGTGCTAGTAACCTGCCGGCCTGGAGACTGTTGGGCTGCACTCCTGGCCTTGTCTTACAGCCAGCTGTGTGCAGTCAGCAGCCAGCCGGCCCCTGGGCGCTGCTCCCTGGCTACCAACTAGCTCTTCATGCACCTCCCAGCTTCCTATAGCCACATGCCCTTTGGAGTCTCATTTCATTTCCTTTGGTCTCATCAAGTGACCCTTTGGTTTGAAAATAACGAGCAGGGCTCATTTGGGGTTCACCCTTGTGTCTAGCGGTGCCTGTCATCTTTCAGCTCAGAGAGCTCGGGAGCCCACATTTTTAACAGACATCCAAGGGGAATAAAAGGCTGCTCTGTCCCAACAGTGGAGTAAGGTCAATCCTAGACACACTGGCTGGCTCCTTTAAGGCCAGCCTTTGATATGATGTCAGGAAAATTGTGGTTTCAAGTTCAAACTGTGGTTTTGAGAGATGCTGGCTTAAAAGGAAGAGGGCAAGGGAGCATCCTGCTTGGGGTCTTCTGGAGTGGGTTTCCTTCCCTGAAGACCCTCGTTGTGTTTTGTTTCCCTTCTTTCCCCTCCTCTCCTGGGACTTCTGAGGGTGGGGGATAAGGCTCTTAAGAGAAAAAATAATCAGCATCTCAAAAACCACACTTTTTAACTTGAAACTCAACACTGTGATTTAAATTCTTAAAGTCATGGTTGGAGTTTGGAAAAGGCCTGCCCGGTGCCAGAGACCAGCTCTAATGAGGTGGGCAAGCAACGGTCTCTGGGTCGTGATTCTTTTTCACATTTAATCCTAGGTGGGAGGAGTGACCTTGAGGTGCCAAGATCAAAAAGAATGTGGTGGGCCGCTTCTGGCAGCCGTCAGTGCTGTAACTGCAGCGTGTCTGAGAGGCAGTGAGTAAAAGGTTATTTCTCACCCGTGGCTTCCGCCTTGACTTTGGAAGCTTTGGAGGGGTTGCAGTGTTTTGCTGTTTCTTGTTTCCAACGATCTTGGGTGTAATCGCTCGGGATTGAATTCCAGCAACCCTTTGGAGACTGACGTTCTGCTGCCGCACTCCCACACCCCCTCTTAAAAACCATTAATCTCTCGGGGTGAAAGGTCGGCTTTGGAGTTTAGCTGCGGCCAGCTGGGCCAGCCCCATTCCATGGAGGCGCTGATGAGCTAGCCGCACTCCAGGCCTCCGCACGGACAGACCTTTGGGAGAATAATAGAAACACTGACTCATCAGATGACCGTTTGGAAGGGTCACAAGCCAGAGGCCGGCACTGTGCAGCCAACAACAACTTGGATCCTCCGCCCTCGGTGGAGGGTCCCTTTTGTTTACTGAGAAGCCACAAACCACAGAGGTGGGAGAGGAACACGGAGGAGCTGCCAGTGAAGGGATATGCCCAACTAGTCCTTGAGGGTGAACAGTATGAAATCAGAGACTCAGAGTCCAAACTGAGGGCCTTAGGGCCGAACAAAAAGACAAGGAAAACAAGAACCAAACTGACAGAGCACACTGTTGACAAGGGGCAAGTGGACCGCCAGCAGGTTAAAGGCCTCCATGGGGAGATGGAGGAATGCCAGGGGCAGTCAGAAGTTTGGAGTCACCACTAGGGGCTTACTGTGCAGGATGGATCCAGATTTCCTCCTTATGGTGAGTGGATCTTCTCTAAGCACAGAGCTGTACCTGGACTATTCCAGCTGCTCATTGACAAATACAGAGCAAACTGCTCAGAGAATGTATTTACAGGGAGAGGTGGAGGGGTGGGGCCGCCTCAGGTGTAGAGCTGAGGTGGGGACGGCCGAGGTGAACTCGAGAGGGGCAGGAGGAAGATGGCGTGTGGTAGGACAGCTCGGGTGTGAAAAGAAACTTCCGTGTAAATGTGTTGACTGAGTAGCTCCTAGGGCCAGAGGAAGCCTCTGTTTGATGCTGAGTAGTGTCCAGTGGTTGCAGGGGCGAGGCCAGGGGTACAACTTTTAATGAGGACAGAGGGTCCTCAGCCATGCACCTCAACAGGAAAGTTGCCCACTCACCAGATGCTTTGCGGTCGGCTTGCTGAGAGCTGGCCCACTACACTGGAGAACGGGTCAAAAACCAGCAAGGTGAGGCGCAGGCCTAAAAACATCTGCAAACCTCAGACACAGGTTTAGGGAGGGAGACTGGCTCAGCAACGGGTGTTTAATCACAAAAGCCACATCAAAACGACAACATGAAACAGAGTTTCCCTTGCTGCAGACTCCATGTGTCATGAACTAGCAGCATCCTGGGGTTGCCAAAAAAGCCAATGCTGTAAAAGGTTAGTGTCTGTAGGAAGGAGACCAGAGTTCGGTTCCTTTGTGGTCACCAATGTTACGGACTTGAGCAACAGGCTGAGGGTGGTGAGCTGAGAAGCAGAACCAAAGGGGTGGTTATCTGGGAAGTAGACACTTTCTAAGGAGTCTAGATATTTTCAACTGTGCTGGGATGGTTGCTTTTTTTTTTTTTAATATTTATTTATTTGAAAGACTTAGAGACAGATCTACCATTCGCTGGTTGACTCCCCAAATGGCTGCAAAGGCCAGGGCTGCCAGGCTGAAGCCAGGAACCAGGAGCTTCTTCCAGGTCTCCCATGTGGGTGGCCCAAGCCCTTGGGCCATTATCCACTGCTGTGTCCAGGTGCATTAGCAGGGAGCTGGATGGGAAGTGGAGCAGCCACCATGGGATACGTGTCTTGCAGGCTGCATCTTGAGCTGCAACCCCGCTCAGCCACAATCAGCCCTTACTGGGCTGCTTTTTAACCGGAAGTGAGTTTCTTCTCTGGAAATGGTTAAGCAAAAGCTTGACCCACTGGGTCTGGGCTTGGCAATTCGCGGTGGTGCTTGCTTTCTCCCAGCGGGATGAACCGATTTCCATTCGCACTTCACTTGCTCATCACTTCCCGGCCGCCACTCCACAGCACAGGCATCTCCGAAGGAGCCTGGGGCAGCTATTTCCACCCACTGCCCATGACCCTAGCTGCTCCTTCAACTCCCTCCCCTACCCCCCCTTGCCAAACAGTGGCCTGAAGGCCGCCCACCTGCTCACCCCCACCCTGGGGTCCCCGGAGAGCCTGTGGCTTCAAGACTACTTCGTTCAGCCTGGCCCAACTATCCCCACAGACCTCCTGGACCCGCCTACACTTGCCCAGCGCGCAACGACCCTGGGTCCTGGGTTCCCATTTCCAAGATTCTCACCTCTTGACAACGCAGGGGTCCCTGGCGCGGCTAGCCTCTTTCCCGGAGCCTCTTTCCTCCCCGCGCCACGGTCTGACGCCTTCAGCCCTTCGCAGGAAGCCGACTCCCAAGCCAGCGCAGGGGGTGTGGGCCAAGGGCGAAACCCCGCCCTCAGGGGTCCTTGATCTTTGCCCCTGCCCTGGGCTCTGCGCCTCGGGGAGCCGATCGGGTGGCGCGGTCTTTTGTGTGTTTCACTAGGAGGTGCGGGAGACACCCCCCCTCTAGCAGTCCGCAGCGGCCCCCAGCCCCTCCTCTCGCCGTCCCCAGCCCCCCTTGCAGCTCCGCGTGCCAGCTCGGGGATCGCTGGTTCGCTCCCCGCGGCGCCAGGAGGAGGGGCGAGGGCCGGCAGCCCCCTCCCCCGCGCGGCGCCGGAGCCAAGCCGAGCCGGGGACCCGCCGCTGCCGGTCATGTGGGCCGGACTGCTGCTCCGGGCCGCCTGCGTAGCGCTCCTGCTGCTGGGGGCCCTGGCCAGAGGCTACACGGGGAGGAAGCCACCCGGCCACTTCGCGGCCGAGAGGTAAGCACCCCGATCCCCTGTCTGGCCCCCCGGGGAAGCTCCATCGGCTTGGAGTGGGGAGGCGCCGAGGGGCGCCTCGGAGCCACCGGCAGACGGGCGTCGGGGCTCCCCCTGGGGCTCTATCCACGCGGACGCAGCTCTCAGGGTCCCGACAAAGAGACGGCAACTTGTGCCACTGGGCTGCTGCGCGTTCGCCCCTGCTGAGGCTGCCCTGGCCAGACCTGGGGGAGATCCCGGCGCCGGGCGAGCCCGAGAGTGTCCGGGAGAGCAGAACGCTGGCCCGGGGCTCAGGAGGTACCACCCGGTCTCCAGATTCGCGGTCTTTTGCTCCCTAAATATGCCCGTGGTTCTGTCTTGGCTGCGCCTGGCCGCCCTCTGGGGTCGGGGCTTGCTCTGTGCCCCAGCTCTACGCACGCCTTGGACCTTGGAGCCGCCGGGGTCCCTCTGGGTCACGCCTCGATTCCGCCCCCGAGAGCGTGCGCGGATGGGGGCTGGGGCGTGCGCCCCTTCGCTGTCCTCGACGGCTGCCGCCCTCTGTACGTGTTTTCTGCCTGGCCGCGGGCGGCGAGCGTGTGTGCGTGATGCTCGCAGCGAGGGAACACGGTGTCAGCGGGCGGCCTGGCCCTCGGCCACGTCCTCTGGGGGGCGCGCAGCAGGGGCGGCCCCGCCAGGCTCGCAGCTCGCGCGTGTGTTCCGCAGCCACGGCCAGTTCCCGCTCACATCACCTGGCCCCGCGGGTTTCACAGCCCCCGACCACCTGCCTCCTGGTCGCCGCCAGTCCACTGAGGCTCCTTGGGCTCTCTGGGGGCGCCTGGCCCCTGCCCGCCTGAGCGTGCAATGCCACCATTGCCGATTTGGTGGCACCGCCTGTCCCTTTTCCCAGCACCCACGGAAGAACAGGAGGTGCCGGCCCGCCCCCGCTGCGCTGCTGCCACAGTCACTCCAGCGGGGTGGGGTGGGTGGGGCAGGCCCCCACAAGGGCCCCCTTCTCCTGCGATGACTTCAGAGAGGACCAGGGCTGGAGACCCCAGGGACAGTTCTCCACTGACTTCCCTGCAGTTTTTGCTTGCCCTGCTATCCTGAGCGACCATATCCAGAGTCCCTGATGCCTTTGAAACAGGGAACAGAGTGAATCTGTTTTGTCCCATGTGCCCAGCGTCTGGCACGTGCCAGGCACATCGTGGTGCTCGGTGAAGCGCCTGGCTGGCTGAATGAGGTTCCCATCAGCCTCTGAACCCCATAGAACCCGGTTGAGAAAGGCTTTCTTGTCCCTGTGCTGTTGGACCAGGTTTCCCAGTTCAGACGGCTGGATTCCAGCCCACTGGGGGAATGGGCTCTGAGCATCACCTCTGTCCCCTCCAGACCTGGAGCTGTGCTGCTCCTTGCCTGGGTTCCTCTCCCTTCCTCCTGTGTCATCAGCTGCCCACCTCAGGCGAGATGCTGGCCCTCCTGGACGCCTCCCTGACCCTCCTCAGGGCTTCTTAGCCCCTCCCATTGGGTAACTATGTCATTGTCACCTGTTTTTTTTTTTTTTTTTTTAAGATTTATTTATTTACTTTAAAGTCAGAATTACGGAGAGAGAGAAGGAAAGGCAGAGAGAGAGGTCTTCCATCTGCTGGTTCACTCCCCAGGTGGCCGCAACAGCCGGAGCTGTGCCGATCCGAAGCCAGGAGCCAGGAGCTTCTTCCAGGTCTCTCACGTGGGTGCAGGGGCCCAAACACTTGGGCCATCTTCCATTGCTTTCCCAGGCAATAGAAGAGAGCTGGATTGGAAGTGGAGCTGCCAGGATTTGAACCAGCCTCCATATGGGATGCTGGCACTGCAGGCGGTGGCTTTACCCGCTACGCCATGGCACCGGCCCCTGTTACCTGGTTCTTGTCCTGACATCTTGGCACACAGCTGGATACGGGTCTGGCTTCTTCCTGTTCTGGACTCCGTTTCTGGTTGCGCTGACCCTCTTGCTTCCAACTCACCACCTCCACCCGGAGAGATGTTACCTGTGCCAGTGCCCTGTGTATGCTGCCCCCCCCCCCCCCGCTGTTGGCTTCCCTTCTCAACCTGTCCCTCAGCCACTGTCTGCTGCACCTGCTGTGTGCTAGGCCCTGCAACGGTGCTGGGTTGGGCAAAGAAGAAGCCCTGGTCCTCGGGAGACAGCAAATCAGTCACTGGATGTCCCAGGAAGGAAATGCTATGGAGAGGAGTATAGCAGGTAGAAGGTGACAGGAGCTGAGACCCGGGGAGGGGATGAGCAAGCCAAGCGTGCAAGTAAGAACCTCGATAGAGAGAGGGCTACAGGTGCCAAGGCCCTGAGGCAGCCATACCCGGGGCTCCTCGTCCCTTGCAGAGCCCTTCTTTTGCTCTGAGGCTACTCTCTCCTGATGGGGTGGTATCTGTAGGAGGCTGACACCTGTCCTGTCATACTTTTGTCTTTGTTCAGCTTCCAGGAGACCCTCGGCCATGCTCCTGCAAGTGTTTGTTGACTGACTTACAGACTAGCTGGGAGGCTTTCCTGTTCACCAATCCCTCCTCTCTTGCAGACGCCGACTGGGCCCACACGTCTGCCTCTCAGGGTTTGGGAGTGGCTGCTGCCCTGGCTGGGCACCCTCCATGGGCAGTGGGCATTGCACCCTGCGTAAGTGTCCGTCCCTGAACATCCAGGCTTCTCCAGCAGCAGTGTGTGTTGCCTGGTCGGAGGGGTGGTGGGGTCTCCGGCCCCAGCCCCTCACCTTCCTTTCTCCTCCCAGCCCTCTGCTCCTTTGGCTGTGGGAGTGGTATCTGCATTGCTCCCAACGTCTGCTCCTGCCAGGATGGAGGGCACGGGGCCACCTGCCCAGGTAACTGGGGATGGGCAACAGCTGATGGGAATGTCCGAATTTACATTGTGGTTATGTGCCAGGCACTGGGCACTCGAGATATGTTCCTGCATATCATCTTCCAACAAAATGCCTACTAGGTAGGCATTTTCATGCCCATTTTATAGATGAGGAAACTGAGGCACAGAAATCATTGTCTTGCTTGGGGTCACACAGCAGGTAAGTGGTGGTACTGGATTTAAACTGAGGCCTGTTTGCCTCTAGAGCTGTCCCACTCCCCCAGCAGTAGTCAGAATCGGGCTTCGGGTGGCCAGTGCTGTGTGGTGTGTGCACTGATGTGATGCTTGTTTTAGAAGCCCATGGACCCTGTGGGGAGTATGGCTGTGACCTTACCTGTAACCATGGTGGCTGTCAGGAGGTGGCCCGCGTGTGCCCCGTGGGCTTCTTGATGACGGAGACAGCTGTTGGCATCAGATGTACAGGTGAGAGGCCTGGGAGCAGTGGGGGAGGGGAGGTCGGGAGTTGTGTCTCCTCCTGGTCCTGCAGGAACAAGAGCCAGGCCAAGCTGTGAGAGCAGGCAGGAGGACCTGCAAACAAACCAACTTATCCCCTCTGTTACTTCCCAGGGATCGATGGAGCAGGGCCTGGCTCAGTGCCGGGTTGCAAAGCAGGGTCATCTGATGGCCCCTTGTTAGGGAGCTTTTGAATATGGGGAGACCTGGACAGGACAAGGACAAGGAGGGGCCCATGTAATGACTGCAGCCAGGGCAGTGTGAGGGGTCAGGGGCCGGAGGCCTGGAAGCAGACTGGGGGTTGGGTGACCGGGAGGGCTCTTTGGGAAAACTCAGTGATTGTTTTGTAAAAGTGTTATTTGTTTGTAGTTTTACAAAGTTCCTGTGGACAAAGTCCATTATCTTCCCCAGAGAGGTCGCCCTTGGGACCCATTTGTTGCCAGTCTTTCTGGAACTGCAAAAGCCTTTTTTTTTTTTAATTTTGAGCTTTAGCAGGGAAATGATTTTTTGCCTCTGAATAGAAGAGGAAAAGATAATTTGTTTTAGACCACTTGGAAAATGTGAGAGCAGAAAAGTGAGTTCCCACCTGGAGATCCTGTTACTAAGACGAAGATGCTTTTCCCTGCCCTGTTTCCTGGGGGTGTGTATTATGTTAGATGTTCATATGTGTGTGTGTTGCCAAATTGGATTTAGACCTTATCTGTAGTTCTTATTCATTAGTTTTCCTGCTTCTTCTTCTTCTTTTTTTTTTTTTTTTTTTTTTTTTGGACAGGCAGAGTTAGTGAGAGAGACAGAGAGAAAGGTCTTCCGTTTTCTGTTGGTTTACCCCCCAAGTGGCCGCTATGGCTGGCACATTGTGGCCAGCACCAGCACGCTGCACTGATCCGAAGCCAGGAGCCAGATGCTTCCTCCTGGTCTCCCATGTGGGTGCAGGGCCCAAGGACCTGGGCCATCCTCCACTGCACTCCCAGGCCACAGCAGAGAGCTGGACTGGAAGAGGAGCAACCGGGACAGGACCGGCGCCCCAACCGGGACTAGAACCTGGGGTACCAGCGCCGCAGGTGGAGGATTAGCATAGTGAGCCGCAGCGCCGGCCTTTCCTGCTCCTTCTGATATCACTAAGTACTCCTTGCAACGTAATTTTTATTTAGTATTTAACTTGAAAGGCAGAGAGAAGAGACAGGCATCTCCCATCCGCTGATTCATTCCTTACATGCCCATAACAGCTGTGGCTTGGCCAAGCCGAGGCCAGGAGCCAGGAACTAAATCCAGATCTCCCATGTAGGTGGTAGGGACCCAATTACCTGAGCCATCACTTGCTACCTCCCAGCTACTTTTTAGCAGGAAGCTGGAATCAGGAGTGGAGCAGGGACTTGAACCCATGTGCTCCAGGATGGGATGTCGGCATTGCAAGCAATGTCTTAACTACTGGGCCAAGCACGCTTGCCTTGATTTTTCACAGCTGTGTGTGTGTTGGCTGTAATTGAGACACACAGCTGTCTGTCATCCTTCATTAGGCCGTCTGCGGTGTCTCCTGCTGTAAACAGTGCTGTAATGGCGTCTCTGATGATTTCCCAGGAGAGCTGCAGGCTGAGGGTCTCCCCAGAGGAGGGGATGGTTGCTTGTTGCATTGTCCCTTCCCACAATGCCTTTCACCAGCAAGTGCTTTCTGCAAACTGGAGAGGAAACACCAAGAACAGTGTCCGAGCAAGCGTAGGACAGGGTGGCACTGGCCACAGCCACAGCCAGTGGGATGAGGTCAGCCAGGGTGGGCTTCCTAGGGGCGGTGGGCATGTCCTATTGGGCCTGCCCACGGGAAGAGCAAGTGGACACCAGGGGGAAGGCCGAGTAGTGGGTAAGTAGGGTGGAGGTGCCCCATGGGCAGGAGGCTGGGCAGTGGGAGACTCAGGTGCAGACTGGAGTGAGCTAAATGGATCTTGTGAGTCCCCTGGGGCTGTCTTGGTTCTGGGACAGGGAAGGGACACCATGCAGCAGGGTTTCCTAGCCCTCTCACCTCTCCTTAAGCCAACCTTCCTTCCTAAAAGCACTGCTTGATCCAGTTACCTGTCCAGGCCAGAGCTGGCAGGGGACGTCTTCTGCCCCTAGCCTGGTCTTATCTGATCCACCCTCTCCAGCCCTGCTCTCGCTGCCTAGCCAGACAGCCTTGCTGTCATCCCCAAGCTGCCGGGAGCTCTTTAAGCCCTTCTCCTTGTGGGCGGCCCTCTTGCTGCTCCTGGGCTCTCACCCCATGGCTCCCTGACACTGCCCAGCCATTGCCTGGGGGGGTATGGGTCACCCCACCACACACTGGCCTGCTAGGCTGTGTCCTGGCTCCCCTGCTAGCAGATTGTGAATGTCCATGACCATCAGCGAGTCAGCACTGCCTTGAGTCACCTGTGTCCTCCGTGGCCCCTGCTCCAGTCTGCTGCACACAGCCAGTGCTGTGGGGACATTTAAGTGATGGCCCTGTTGATAATATAGTCAGCCTTGCCCTCTGCCCTTTTGGGAGGCCCTGCAGGGTGGTCAGCAGGTGAGGCTATCCTCTCTCATCGCCTGATCTGCGTGGGTCAAGGAGGGGTCCCTAGTCCTTCTGCGCCTTCTGGGCTTGCGTTGTAGCTAGGTGACTTCCCTGGTGTCTACTGTTTCTTCCCGGGGTGTGGGTGAGGGATCCCTGCTGCTGGAGGCAGGCCCCAGTGGACAAGGGGCCTGAAGGGGGTCCTTTATTCTCCCTGAGTTCAGCGGTGCCTAGTGGGCCATACAGGGATGCTTTCTCTCTTCCTAGACATCAATGAATGTTTGAGCTCCGCTTGCGAGGGCCACTGCGTGAACACGGAGGGCGGGTTCGTGTGCGAGTGTGGGCCGGGCATGCAGCTGTCTGCCGACCGCCACAGCTGCCAAGGTGAGTGGGCAGAGAAGGGGCCTGGCGCCATGGGCTCCCCACACATCCTGCATTTAACCTGTTAGTCCCGTGTTACAGATGAGGAAACGGAGGCTTGCCCAAGGGCGTCTGTGAGTAAGAGGTAGAGCCAGAGTTTGAATCCCAGCCTGTCCGGCTGTGCTTCTTCTTAAGTGCCATTTAATTTTTTGAGAGGCAGAAAGAGAGAAAGGGGGGGAGCAAGAATGGGAGAATCAATCTCCCAGCCACTGGTTCATTCCCCAAATGCCTGCAACAACCAGGGCTGGGCCAGGAGCCAGGAACTCCATCTGGGTCTCCCATCTAAGTGTCAGGGACCCAAGTACTTGAGCCACCTGCTGCCTCCCATTAGTAGGAATCTGGAATCAGGAGTGGAGCCAGAACACAAACCCAGGCATTCCTATGTGGGATGTGGGTGTACCAGCTGGCCGAACACCTGCCACCTGCCCTTGGAGTCTGTTCTTAGAAGGGCACTCATCCCTCTGTGGGGAAACCCAGCCTCATGACCTTAACTAACCTTAATCACCTCCCAAATGCCCCACCTCCAAACACCATCACACTGTGGGTAGGGCCTGGTGTGGGGACACAGTTCAGGCCACAGCATCTAGTTATCAGTCTGGTGACTGCCTCTCCCTACTCATGTGCATACATAGGAGTGTATATGCCTTGACTGAGATACAATGTCACCGAAGAAGTTTCATGGCCCAGGCACTGGGCTAAGCACATTGCATGATTTTTATTTCATCTTGGACTTAGCCTAGTGAAGTTCATTCTGTTTATCTCCATTTTATTGATAGCAATACTGAGGCTTAAAGAAATTAAATAATTTGCCCAAAATCATGTTACAGCCAGGATTTGAACCCAGTTGTTCTCTGCTTTTTTTAAAAAAAAAAATGTTTATTTTAAAAGCAGAGTTACAGAGAGAGAGGGAGAGACACAGGGAGAGAAATGTTCCATTTGCTGGTTCACTCCCCAAATGGCCACAGTGGCCCAGACTGGGCCAGATGAAACCACGAGCCTGGAGCTTCATCCAAGTCTCCCATGTTAGTGGCAGGGACCCAAGCACTTGGGCCATCCTCTGCTGCTTTCCCAGGCACATTGCCAGGGAGCTGGATTGGAAGTGGAGCAGCTGGGTCTCGAACTGGTGCTTATGTGGGATGCTGGCATTGCAGGTGGTGTTGTGGCCCACTGGGCCACTATGCCTGCCCCTCTGTCCCCCCCGCCCCGCCCCTTCACCAATTGGTCTTGAAGGTCTTTCCACATCAGGGTAAGTAGATCTGCCTGTTCCTTTTAACTACTGCTGCCTGGCACTTTTATAGTACAGATATTCCATAGCTTATACTCTTTCCTTATTGCTGAACATGGAGATTATTTCAAATAATAACATGGAGAAGCTCTTACAGATGAGGCACTGGGCAAGTTGACCTTTGCGGTATGAGTAGGATTTTCCAGTCGGTCAAGAGGGAAGCCGTTTCAGGCAGACATGAGAACATGGACATACTGGAGGCCTGCAAAGGCTGCAGGAATTCATGCCAGAGTGAAGGTGAGGGGCAGGGCAGGTGATGGGAAAGGCAGCCCCAGGCTGTGTTTAAAGACGGTGAGCCTGGGTGCCTTATCCTAGGATGAGGCCCTTGGGGAGGTTTAAAGCAGGGTGTGGCCTGAGCGGAGGTGCCTGTGGTGAGAACACCCTGGAGGCTGTGTGGAGGAGGCTGGCGAGGGACACAGGCACAGATGGAGACGTGCAGCAGGCTGAGACTGTGCTCCCAGCCTGGAGATGAACAGGCTGGGGCTCTGGTGTGGCCCCTGAGAGGCAGCGCTCAGGGCACAGGAGTGCCAGTGAGGGCAGTCCAGGGCATCTTTCGGGGCTGATGGACTGGGTGTGGGAGGTAAGGCGGCCCCTCCACGGCTCTGGACGGGGTAGGAGCTGCCCCATCAGAGAGGAAGAAGAGCCCAGATTTCCAAGACTCCGTGGGGAAGCAAACCCGAGCCTGCCCATTTCCCTCGCAGACACTGACGAGTGCTTGAGGACGCCCTGCCAGCAGAGGTGCAGGAACAGCATCGGCAGCTACAGGTGCTCCTGCCGCCCTGGCTTCCACCTGCATGGCAACCGGCACTCCTGCGTGGGTAAGGCCACGGCCACCCTGGGCTCTGCACACTCAGGCTGCTGGCCAGCAAGATGGACAGGGTTTGCCCAGGGACCTGGAAGGTCAGCAGCTGGGCCTCCTGGCGCTGTGGAGCCTGAGGAGGCTTGAGCCTTTGCTCCCGGTCTGGCTGTCCCCAGGGTTGACCCCGTCGTGGGTCTTGCTGGCCAGGAGCCACTTTCTTCCTGTTTGTTTGTCTTCCACTTCTCTCCCAGATACACCCCAGGGATTCCTCTCTGCTCATCTGTTTTCTTGGCTGCCTCTTTGGTAAATAAAGCACGTTATGTCTCGGTGTAGAAGGAGATCCCTGTTTGCTCAGCCCATTAGCAGAAATTTCCAGAAAGGGATTAGCATGTTTGGCTTGGTCTGGCTCGTGGGTGGAAGGTGGGGTCCCCAGGGCCTGAAAAGGGCCTTGTTCCAGTGGAGTTTGGTTTTTGTCCTCAAGCCTACCTCACCCAGGACAGGGAGTTTTTTTCCCATAATTTTTTAAAATATATTTCTTTTATTTCATATATACATTTTTTTAAAAAAAAAGATTTGTTTATTCACTTGAAAGAGAGTTACACACAGAGAGAAGGAGAGGCAGAGAGAGACAGAGAAAGGTCTTCCATTTGCTGGTTCACTCCCCAATTGGTTGCAATGGTCAGAGCTGGACTGATCTGAAGCCAGGAACCAGGAGCCAGGAGTCTCCTCCAGGTCTCCCACACGGGTGCATTGGCCCAAGGACTTGGGCCATCTTCCACTGCTTTCCCAGGCCACAGCAGAGAGCTGGATCAGAAGTGGAGCAGCCGGGACTCGAACCAGCACCCATATGGGATGTCAGCACTGCAGGCGGTGGCTTTACCAGCTATGCCACAGTGCTGGCCTCTCCCTTAATTTTTAATATTTATATATTTGAAAGGCAGAACATCAGAGAGATAGAGATAGAAAGAGACAGAGAGAGACAATGCTTCCCTTCACTGATTCTCTCTCCAAATGCCCACAACAGCAGGGCCTGGGCCAGGCTGAAGCCAGGAGTCAGGAGCTCCATCCTGGTCTCCCACATGGGTGGCAGGGACCCTAGCACTTGGGCTGCCTCACAGGGTGCACATTTTCAGAGAGCTGGATCACAAATGGAATAGCCAGGACTCAAACCTGTGCTTGCATGTGGTGGTCTAACTACACCACAAGGCTGGCCCCACAATAAGTCTTTTTTTTTTTTTTTAATTTGTTAAAGATTTATTTATCTGAAAGGCAGAGTCACAGAGAGGCAGAAGGAGAGAGAGAGAGAGAGAGAAAGAGAAAGGTGGGAGCTGGGCTGATCCAAAGCCAGGAGCCAGGAGCTTCTTTCGGGTCCCCCACGCGGGTGCAGGGGCCCAAGGACTTGGGCCATCCTCTGCTGCTTTCCTAGGCCATAGCAGAGAGAGCTGGATTGGAAGTGGAGCAACAGAGACTTGAACCAGCACCCATGTGGGATGCCAGCTCTGCAGGCGGCAATTTTACCTGCTGCGCCACAGCGCCGACCCCCGCACAGTTTTGAGACTCTCTTTTGGAAAGCAAAACAGGACAGTGGAAAGTTTGGAGATGAGATCCCCACAGGGGCTCCTCCCCACCAGCCAGCACCAAATCATTGTTGCATGGGGCTGGATGTCATGACACAACCATTACACATACCAGATGTGCCAGCCCTCCAAAGAGACCAGCACTAGGTTTCAGTCCTGCTTCCAGCTGTCTGTCACACCTGGCAAGCTCGAGCAGGGATCAGCCCCATAAGAGCATGGCAGGGAGACCCCTGCCCCCAGGCTTTTGGGCTAAGGGCTGGGAGGCAGCAGGGCTCTGTGGCCCAGACAGGGCAGCTGTCCTCAGTGAAGCTCTCCCGCAGACATCAATGAGTGTCGGAGGTCACTGGAGAGGCGAGTTTGTCACCACTCGTGCCACAACACCGTGGGCAGCTTCGTGTGCACCTGCCGCCCCGGCTTTAGGCTGCAAGCTGACAGAGTATCCTGTGAAGGTAGGTGCCAAGCCCCGCCCCTCAGGCATCTGGCCCCGCCCCTGCACCAGGCCCTGCCCTCCTAGTGCAGGGCTAGCTTCCTTCCTCACCCACTCTTTGTGCCCCTCCTGGCCTCTTCATCTGTTTTTTTTTCCCAGCAGCCTTTCTTCCTCCTTTTCTCCCTCTTCTTTACTCATTCTTCTTCCCTTTTCTTTTGCTGTTCTCCCAGCTCTTGAGTTCCCCCTAAATGAGCAGTAGAGGTGTGTATGATACAGGATCCCCTACACCTGTGTCCTGAGGTGTCGATGGCTCTGTGCCTCCCCCAGGGCCCCGTGAACTGTGTGTCTGTTGGCTCGTGCCCTCAGTGGGTCGTGGAGCTCTTCCCACGTCAGCGCTGTGAGAACCCTGCCTTTTTCCCAACCTGGGTGCCTTTCCCGTCCACCTGCTTTCCTGCTGGCCCTCCTCGCCCCGGCTCGGCTTTCTCCCTGACTCTGAAGTTCTCTCTTTCCCTTGTCTCTCACTCCTGCTCTGTCTGCCTCTTTTTCTTCTCTCTTGGTTTTTCTAATTGTCTTTCCTATCCCCAGACAATGGGTGTCCACAGCAAGACAGATGCCCTTTCCCGTTCCCAGGAGTGTGTGTGTGGCCTGTTGTCCTGGGGCTGGAGAGAAGCTCAGGCTAGTCCTTTGTCCCAACCCCTACAAGGAAGCCGCAGCTGGCAGGGGAGCAAGGGAGCAGGGGACCGACTCCTCACCTGTTAGGACATGGAGTTGGTGGGGGGAGTGAATCCACAGGGGATGAGGTCTTGCCTGGCCCAGAGAAGCCTGGGAACTGTGGTCTCCTTTGTGTCCAGGGAGGAAGGAAAGCTGAAAGCAGCAGCATTAGCAGCCGTGTCCTTCTGCTTTCTCACCTCTTGGTCCTGTGAGCATCACCGCTGCTCCAGCTGTACGGGGCTGCACCTGCTGTGTGGGCGATGCAACACCAAGAACCATCCTGGGAGCAGTGATGGAGGAGGAGCCGAGTTCTGGCTCCCCTCAGCCGGGCCTCCTGCTCCTGCTGCCTCTCTGAAGGGACCCTGTGCTTCTGTTTCAGCTTTCCCGAAAGCCGTGCTGGCCCCGTCAGCAATTCTGCAGCCGAGGCAGCACCCCGCCAAGATGCTCCTACTGCTTCCGGAGGCGGGCCGGCCTGCCCTGCCTCCAGGACACAGCCCTCCTCCTGGGGCTCCAGGGTTCCCTGCCGGGGGCAAGACGACCCACCCACCATCTCCCACCCCTGCACTGCCCTCGTTCTCCCCTTCTGCCCCTCCGAGGCTGCTCCCCACCCCGACAGCCACCCCAGTGCCAACCACCTCCCTGCTGGGGACCATCAGACCTCCCTCTTTCCTCCAGGGGGAGGCAATGGGAACACCTTCTTCACCTAGGGGCCCCGAGGCCCCACCCCTGGCAACACGGCCCCCTCCCTGCTGGCATTTGGGGGCTGTGTATGAGTCAGGGAGCCACTGGACAGAGGCTGGGTGTTCCCAGTGCTGGTGCCAGGTGGGTGTGAGGGGTTCCTGGGACTGTCTTAGTCTAGCACGGGAGGCCTGGCAGTGGCTATAACTCCTGCTCTGCTTTCAGGATGGAAAAGTGACCTGTGGAAAGGTGAGGTGTGAAGCTGCTTGTTCCCACCCGATCCCCCCCAGAGATGGGGGCTGCTGCCCATTGTGCACAGGTGAGAGCTGGCCACTTCCCTCCCTAGCCCCCTGTAGCCAAAAGGCTTGTCACCTGGATGCTCATTTAAAAAAAAAATTTATTTATTTGAAAGGCAGGGAGATAGAGAGAGAGGTAGACAGAAACAGAGAGCCATCTTCCATCCATCGGTTTACTCCCCAAATGCCGATAACAACCAGGGCTAGGCAAGGCCAAAGTCAGGAGCCAGGACCTTCACTGGAGTCTCCCACATGGGAGGCAGAGACCCAGCTACTTGAGCCACCACCTGCTGCCTCCGAGGTGTGCATTAGCAGGCAGCTGTAATTGAAAGTGGAGTCAGGGCTTGAACCCGCTCTGTTATGGGGTGGGGATGTCCCAAGCAGTGTCTTACTCTCTTCACCAAAGGCCCAGCCCTCCTGTTTCTTCTTAGTGATAATTGTGCCCTTTTACCTAGTTCCCAGGTGAACCTGCATGTAAAGTCCAGGGTACTGTGTATCTGGGGTCGCAGACCCTTCCAGTTCCCTGTGGGGATCATGGTGGTCTTTCTGTCTTAGAGTGAAGGCAGCTGAGTCCCAGAGAAGTCAAGTGTCTGAGTGTCCAAGGCCACTCAGGTACCCTGAGCTGGCAGTTTTGGTTTTCAGGACTTCTGGCTGTATTTTCTGCCTTGAGGAAATGAGACGCTATGCTATCCATGAGACAGTCGTGGGTTTGTCACACCAATGTCTCCTGGGCAGTTACGCACAGTTCAGGCACCTAAATCTGCCTCTACTGGGGCATCCAGAGCAGTGAGAGAGATGCCTCCACATACCTGGAAAAGCAGAGACCGCACATTTCCTCTTCTTCCTCTGATGCCTCCACCTGCTGTTTGTCTTTCCAAGGCTGCTTTCACAGTGGCGTCATCCGCGCTGAAGGGGACGTGTTCTCACCTCCCAATGAGAACTGCACTGTCTGTGTCTGCCTGGTGAGCGTTTGCAAACCCCCAAAGCCTTGTGGGTGCTTTCTTAACCTTTGGGGATTTCAGATGAAGGGGGCAAGACCGTGTGTTAAAGGTGAGCTTGTCGAATGGAGGGGAGGGTTCTCAGGTTGTGGATTTTGGTCGGAATCTGCAGAATTTAAAAGACTGGGGGGAAATTGGACAAACCTGGTGGAGTTAGGGAAGTTGCTACTGAGCAGACAAGAGCCAACAGGCAAACAGGGTCCATTTGCGTTGCAAGGGGAATGGGTTCAACTCTTTGAGCTTCCCGTGGGGGATCTCTTAACTCCTAGAAGAATGTTTGCCAGTATGATTAAGTCATCTGCGTGTGGGTGGGAGAAGGCTCATCCCAGACTCAGCTTGTTAAGAGTGTTTTACTTTATAGCAATTCACTCCTCTAAGAATAGCTATTAAGCACCCACTGTGTGTCAGCCACTGCCAGATGCTGTCACATCATGTGAGTTTGAGAACCCACTGTGTGCTTGACACATGGCTGGTACTTTTCATCTATTTTCTTTCCTTTTTTTAAATTTGAAGACTTTTTAAAAAAAGATTTATTTACTTGAAAGAGTTAACACAGAGAGAGAAGGAGAGGCAGAGAGAAAGAGGTCTTCCATCCGCTGGTTCACTCCTCAGTTGGTTGCAATGGCCAGAGCTGTGCTGATTCAAAGCCAGGAGCCAGGAGCTTCCCCCGGGTCTTCCACGTGGGTACAGGGGCCCAAGGACTTGTGCCATCTTCTATTGCTTTCCCAGGCCACAGCAGAGAGCTGGATTGGAAGTGGAGCAGCCAGGACTCCAACCGGTACCCATATGGGATGCTGGCGTCTTTACCTGCTACACCACAGCACTGGCCCCAACTTAAAGACTTCTAATTTTTTTTTTCTTTTTTATTTGAAGGACAGAGAGAGAGAGAGAGAGAGAGCGAGCACATGCAAGGGAGATCTTCCATCCACTGATTAACTCCCCAAATGGCTGCAATGGCCGAGATGGGGCCAGGCTGAAGCCAGGAGCCTAGAACTCCATCCAGGACTCCCCTGTGGGTGGACAAAGATTTGAACCATCTTCTGCTGCTTTCCCAGACATATTAGCAGGGAGTTGGATCAGAAGCAGAGCAGCTAAGACTCAAACTAGTACCCGTATGGGATGCTGCCCTTGTGGGAGCCACCAATCCCTGTGCCACACTGCCGGCCCCTTTTCCTCTGTTTCTTTACTCGAGGCTCCTGCGGTTGGGATCAGCTGTGCTGTCCCTGTTCTGCAGGTGGAGAGACTGAGGCTGGGAAACTGCATCGCTAGGTTTTGACTTGGTGGTTCTGACTCCCCACCCTCACAACTGCCACCGTCTGGCTGTCTTTAAAAGTGGCTCCCGTCCTGACATTGCTGGTGGAAGTTATGTTGTGAGATAAGGAGTTGTAGTCAGCTGTTGGCACCCTTTCTCAAGCTTTTCGTGTGGCCAAGGCCCTCGTGCCTTTTCATGTAATCCTTGGAGATGCCTGTTAGAGGCACCAGCTCCTGCGCAACTCACAGCTGGGAGACCAGGACTCAGAGCCTGCTTAGTGGAGGAGTGGATCCTGGAACTCAGGTCTGGCTGACTCCAAAGCCGGGGGCTTTTTGGCCTTAGTTCCAATGTTTAAAATGTATTTTAAAATTTCTACCTTTTATTTTATTTCTTTATTTAAAAATTTTTTAAAGATTTATTTCTTTGAAAGTCAGAGTTACAGAGAGAGGGGGATGAGACGAGAGAGAGAGAGAGAGAGAGAGAGAGAGATCTTTGATCTGCTGGTTCACTCCCCAGATGGCCACAACGGGCAGGGCTGGGCCAGGCTGAAGCCAGGAGCCAGTAGTTTCTTCCAGGTATCCCATGTGGGTAGCAGGTTCCCAAGTATTTGGGCTGTATTCCCCTGCTTTTCCCAGGCCATCAGCAGGGAGCTGGATCTGAAGAGGAGCAGCTAGGAAACCAACCAGCTCCCATATGGGATGCTGACGTTGTAGGTGGCCTTTACCTGCTATGCCACAATGCTGGCCCCTAAAATTTTATTTTTGTTAGAGAGATATTTTCCATCTACTGGTTCACTTGCTGAAGCCAGCAGCCAGGATCTTCATCTGTGTCTCTCACATGGGTGACAGGGACCCAAGTACTTGAGCCGTCACCTGCTGCCTCCCAGGGTGTGCATTAGCAGGAATCTGGAATCTGGAACAGCCAGTACTCAAACTCAGTCACTCCAGTATGGGACGTGGGCACCTCCAGTGATGTCTTAACTGCTGCAGCATGTGCCCGACCCTACATGTAATCCTTTAAGTAGTCGGCATGAGCCACTTGGCTCAACACTCAGATGCATAGGAAGATGCGTGAGAGTGTCCTTCCCTGCGGGGGTAGCCCTGGTTCTTTGTTTCTCAGCCTCTTTCCAGAGCATTTGTGTGCTCGGCACATGTGCATAAGGAGAGAAGTGTGCTGTGCTCTCTGGTCTGCCCTTGCCTTTTCCTGAAACAATGTCTCTTGGAAGGCGGTTTTCTAAACCATCAGGGTGGGCATTTGGTTTAGTGGTTGAGGGGCTGCCTGGGACATCTGAATGCCTGGTTGGAGTCCTAACTCCTCTGCCTTTTTTTTTTTTAAAGATTTATTTATTTATTTCAAAGAGTTACACAGAGAGAGAAGGAGTGGCAGAGAGAGAGAGAGAGGTCTTCCATCCGCTGGTTTACTCCCCAGTTGGCTGCAATGGCTGGAGCTGTGCCAATCCGAAGCCAGGAGCCAGGAGCCTCTTCCAGTTCTCCCACTCAAGTCTAAGGGCCCCAGGACTTAGGCCATCTTCTACTGCTTAGCAGAGGGCTGGATTGGAAATGGAGCAGCTGGGACTTGAACCAGCACCCATATGGGATGCCAGCACTGCAGGTGGCGGCTTTACCTGCTACTCCACAGTGCCAGCCCCATCCTCTGCTTTCAGTATAGCTTGCTGCTAATGTAAATCCTGGGAGGCAGCAAATACTGGTCCCTGCCACTCATGCGGGAAACCTGAGTGGAGATCTGGGCTCCTGGCTTTAGCCTGGCCCAGCCCTGGATGTTGTGGGTATTTGGGCAGTGAACCAGAGGATGAAAGACCTCTCTCTCTTAAGGAAAATGAAAATAAATACATAAAAATTCAACCACACCACCATAAATACTGGTGGCAATTTTTGTTTGTTTGTTACTATAACCACATACCTGAGGCAAGTAAACTTTATAAAGAAAGGAGGTTTACTTAGCTCTTAGTTTTGGAGGCTGAAAGCTGAAACAATGCAACGCAGACTCTGGTGAGGGCTCCCTGAGTTATATCATCTCATGGCTGTTGGCAGTGGCAGTGTCCGTCACCAGATAGGAAGCCAGAGAGACTGGGGCCTCCCATCCCGCCTCAGGGAAGGACCTCCTACTAGGCCCCAGCACCTCCCAGTTCGTGGGGGCCAAGCCTCCGACACACGAGCCTTTGGGGAGGACCCACTTAAGCCCTATCCAGACCGAGCAGCTGGGATTGCAGTGGTGCCAAAAGGCCTCAGGTGCTTCTGCCGGGCAGCTTCTGCGTTGCAAAGGCGAGGTGTCCGATAGGGAAGGAGCTGCTTGGTGGGGCGCTCTCCTCCACCCCCACCCCACCGCCATCTTTTGCCCCCTCCTCAGGCTGGAAACGTGTCCTGCATCTCCCCCGAGTGTCCTCCAGGCCCCTGCCAGGCCCCCCCACAGTCGGATTGCTGTGCGTGTGTCCCAGGTGAGTGATGTTCTTGGGGCACTGGGTTTTGGTGTGCAGGGGAGGGTGTCTCCTGGGTCTGTGCTGGGGCAGGCTGAGGGAGAAGAGGGCAAGGAAGTGATGTGTGCTTCAGAAACATGGGTCTAGGGTGGCCCTGCGAGTGCTCGGTGCACGGTGGTGCAAATACTAGACGCTGCTCCTACCCCTGCCTGCTCCCACCCCAGGCAGCTCCCAGTCCAGGGAGGAGGTGGTCTTTTGTTGAAAACACTCTTCTCTTTCCTCAGCACCGTCATGGATGTCCCTTGCTCCCTCAGAGCCCCTTACTGTGTGGCGCACTTGCCAGCCCTTGATCCTGCTGAATCCTCCTCATGACGCCATGTGAGGGAGTACTACTCGCTGCTCCATTTCATAGATGAGAAAACTGAGGCACAGCAAGATCAAATCACTGCCCCAAGACACACACCCAGTTAGTAATCTTGCCCAGCATCACTCCCCAGTGACTAGTGGGGCTGGGATTTGAACCTAGGGCAGTTTGACCAAAGCTGGGTGGACTGGAGCTGTTGCTTAGAGGACTGCTTGGGACCAAGGCTCTCACTGAATCCCTGAACCCTTGGGACCTCTGGTGGAGCCATCACGCCCAGATCTTTGTTGTTGAATGTCGTGACTCTTTCTCTCTCTCTCTTTCTGTCTCTCAAAAATGTATTTACTTATTTGAAAGGCAGAGTTCCAGAGAGGGAGAGAGAGTCAGGGAGAGACAGAGAGGGAGATCTTCCATATGCTGTTCCATTCCCCAAATGGACGCAATGGCCAGGGCTGGGCCAGGCTGAAGCCAGGAACCTGGAATTCTATCCAGTCTCCTATGTGGGTGGCAGGGGCCCAAGGGCTTAGGCCATCTTCTGCTGCTTTCCCAAGTGCATTAGCAAGGAGCTGGATTTGAAGAGGAGCAGCTGGGATTTGAACTTGCACTCATGTGGGATTTCGATGTTGTAGGTGGTAGCTTAACCAGCTGTACCATGATGCCAGCCCTCTCTCCCTTGTTTTATTTTTATTTATTTATTTATTTTTTTGACAGGCAGAGTGGACAGTGAGAGAGAGAGACAGAGAGAAAGGTCTTCCTTTTGCCGTTGGTTCACCCTCCAATGGCCGCCGCGGCCGGCGCGCTGTGCTAATCTGAAGGCAGGAGCCAGGTGCTACTCCTGGTCTCCCATGCGGGTGCAGGGCCCAAGGACTTGGGCCATCCTCCACTGCACTCCCTGGCCACAGCAGAGAGCTGGCCTGGAAGAGGGGCAACCGGGACAGAATTCGGTGCCCCGACCGGGACTAGAACCCAGGGTGCTAGGCGGAGGATTAGCCTGTTGAGCTGCGGCGCCGGCCTCTCCCTTGTTTTAAAAAAAATTGTTTGAAAGGCAGGCAGACACAGGGTCGGGGGGTGGGGAGAGAGAGAGAGAGAGAGAGAGAGAGAGAGAGAGATCTTACATCTGCTGATTTACTCCCCAAATGCCTGCAACAACAAGGTCTGGGCTAGGCTGGAGCTAGGAGCCAGAAACTCCATCCGGGTCTCCCACGTGGTGGCAGGAACTCAAGCATTTGCACCATCATCTGCAGCTTCCTGGGTGTATTAGCAGGCAACTATGTTGGAAGTGGAGCATCCAGGCCTTGAAGCAGGCACTCTGATGTGGGATACACCATCTGACGTGGTGGCTTAACCTGTGATGCCACAGTGCCATCCCCGGGCGGTCTCTTGATTCCTGTCTTTGGTTATTTAGGGCTTCCCCTGCCATCTTGGAAGACGTCATTTTGCTCATGACCCTTTCTCTATCAGTGTTTAGTTCTAAGTTGCTTTGCATCTGGGGTTTGGAGGTGGTGAGTGCTTTGGGTTCCTGGGCATGGAAGGTGCTGTACAGGGCTGTGGGTATGTGTGAGTTTCCTCAGGGCCCCTACCCTCCTGGTCTCCTTCTTCTTCACTGCTTCAGACCAGAGACCTGGAGCCACCTCTCTGTCTCTTCTCTGCAGGGAGATGCTACTTCCATGGCCAGTGGTACGCCGATGGGGCCATGTTCAGTGGGGGTGGTGATGAGTGTACCACCTGTGTCTGCCAGGTAGGGTGGCTGCAGCTCCTGACACCTGCTGACTTGGTGGGCGATGGGGAAAGGAATAGGGCCCAGGGTCCCCCCGGGCCTCCCTGTGGTCACCTTGCAGTCCATCCTTCAGCACTGCAGTTGACACAGCACCTGCTATGTGCAGGAACACAGCCAAACACGAGACAGGTCCAGACCCCTCTGTCCAGGAGCCGGGTCACCAGGGCTCTGGATGCCTTTTTGGAGACTGGAATGCTAAGTGCAGAGCTGATGGATGACAGGGATGGGTTAGGTGAGGGGTGCGTGGTAGAGGGCACTGCATGGACCAGGGGCAGGGGTCCGGAAGATGTCCATTCTGGCTGTAGGCAGGGCTCATGTCTTGGGCTGGCTCCCCTTGAAGCAGAAGCTGAGATGGGATTCTGTGCAGGTGATTGCCCAAGAGAGAGCTATTAGAATGAGGCAAGCAGGACAGGGCTGGGGAGGAAGCCATAGGGAGACCTGGGCATGGGGAGCCCTGGCGTGTGGATTGGGCGGAGGAGCTGGGCTCTTATGTCCCAGCAGCCATCAGGCATAAATTAGATCCTCAGCAAGTTGGGGTGAGGTGACTGTCTGGGCATGTCTGGAGGATGACTGCTCCCGCCAAGGGCAGGGCTTAGGGGAAGGGGGCCTGTGTGTCCGGGGCAACAGCCTCTGCCTCTGCTCAGCTGTGATGGTGTGTTAGCTGGGCTTGGGGTTCTGGGTCTGGTGGAGCTACTTGAAGGGTTTTACATGGCGGAGCAATGTGATGGGGCTGGAGCTTGAGAAAGGTCTCTGGCTACAGCCAGCCCAAGACATGAGCCCTGCCTACAGCCAGAATGGACATCGTCCGGACCCCTGCCCCTGGTCCATGCAGTGCCCTCTACCAGAGTGGAGGGCAGCAGCTGGGAGCCTGGCTGGGAGCAGCTGCAGGAGCGGGGGTCAGGCACGGTAGAGACCCAGGGAGGGCAGGGTGGGAGGGCTCCAGACAAACACCCGACACAGCCCAGGACTTCCTTCCAGCCCCCCAGGAAGACCCAGCCTTTGCTCCGCCTCCTGCTGCTGGAGATGTGTCACTTTTATTTGAGGGGGACAAAGGGGTGGGGCAGCCAGCAGCCTCCACTGCAGCCCTCAGGTGGCCCAGGGGTGGGAGCTGCCCTCATTGGCCTTGTCCCTGGCTCTCTTCCAGAACGGGGAGGTGGAATGTTCCTTCAGGCCATGTCCAGACCTGGCCTGTCCCCGAGAGGAATGGTGGCTGGGCCCTGGACAGTGCTGCTTCACCTGCCGGGAGCCCACGCCCATCACAGGTGAGGTCTTGTGTGCTAGCGTGCATGTTGTATTTGTGTGTGTTCAGCGTGTGCATCTGTGCGTTTGTGGTTCTCTGTATGTGTGTTTGTGTGAGCATATGTGTAAGTGGGTGTGTGCTGGATCTGTGTGTGACTGTTTGGGTGAGTGTGCCTGTGGGAGTGCGTGTGTTTGTGTTTCTGTGTGAATGGTGTGTCTGTCTATGAGTGAGTGAGGACATCCGTGGTGGGGTGACACTGCAGGTCTGGCGTGTGCACTCCTGCCACTCTCTTTCCCTCCTCGCTGTCCCCTGGCCAGGCTGCTCTCTCGATGACAACGGGGTTGAGTTTCCGATTGGACAGATCTGGTCGCCTGGTGACCCCTGTGAGTTATGCATCTGCCAGGTGAATGACAACCTCACCTTCAGCTGCTTTACCCGGCTGCCCCCCTGCCTGCTCCCAAGGATGACGCCCCCGGACCACCTCAGATGTGCCTCAGTCTCCCCTGCCCGTGCTGTCAAGTTCCACTTGTACAGAAAGTGTGGGGCCCCAGTTTATCCTGTCCTTGGCAGGTGGCTCAGAGTAGTGGAGCTTGGCAGTCTGACTTCAGGACCGTGTGCAGTGCCCTGTGCTGCAGCCCGGAGCTGCTGGCCTAAGGAGTTAGAATGAAGAATCTCTGTAGAAGGGTTTCCTAGGGCCTGGACAGCTACAGGGGCTGGGGCGGCCTGAGACTCAGCTGTTCAGGCTGTTTCTGTGGAAAGATGGTGAAGCCCCTGAGCTCGTGGCCACAGGTGCAGGAGAAGGTGCCCGAGGTTTGTGCGAGACTGACCAAAACGCCAGCCCGGCTGCTCAGCGGGAGGCTTGCTGGTGTTAGCTGGTTATTTAAGCATGTGCAGGTCTTCCTGTCTGCTTCAAAACAGCCTTGAGTCCCCCAGAGTTTTATTTCTCCAAATAAAAGCTGCGGGTCAGTGGTGTGGCCAGCATCACCTGTGAGCCCCTGTTAGACACTTGCTGAGGCCCTGCCCACTGCCTCTGGACCCAGATTTGCCTTTTAACCCCTGGGAGGTTTGTGTGTGTTTTGTGTGCACGTGACAGAGGCCGGGTGAGAGGCAGGGCCTTTGATGTTCTGTTTGTTAAAAAGCCTCAGGCCCTTACCAGCTTGGATGCTTTTCCTTGGAGTGGGAATTAGGAGGCGGGGCCCTCCTGCGCTGTTTTCTCCTTTATGATTGAGTTCAGAGGCACTCACATTACAAGAACATCATACCACAGAATTGGAAACATTCGGATTCTTAAAAAAAAAAAAGAAACAAAACCTTGTATGGCACTTTGGTCCTCTGAAATAGACATTTCCGGTGGAACAGTCATCCATAAAAGTAGCATTTTATTGCACTCCATAGGTGTGGGGTGAGCCAGGGGTTCCAGGGGAAAGCTGAGAGGAGAAATTGGATGGTGCAGGCTTTGGCTACTGCAGAGGGACAGGAAGCCGAGGAGACCAAGCCCAGCTCTGACCTTCCTGCCCCTTAGACAGTGAGACCTTTCTGGAAGGAGCGTGTCTCCTGCCCCAGGGAGCCAGCCCCTCCTCTGTGAGAGCAACCTGCCTCCTCCCAGCGGCACCCGGCTCTCTTCTGGGGGATGGGAAGAGTGGGGAGGCAGGAGGTGGGGACGGGTGCCACAGGTGGGGTTTCGTGAAGTTCCCCTTCCTTCAGGCAGATGGTTCGGTGAACTGCAAGAGGACAGACTGCGTGGACTCCTGCCCTCACCCGATCCGGATCCCTGGACAGTGCTGTCCAGACTGCTCGGCAGGTGATTCTGGGCCCAGCCTTCTGCCCCCCAGACAGAATTCTCAGGGGATCTGAGCATCCAGGCTCACTCTGCATCAGGCTCCTTTGTGTTAGTCCTTGAGCAAGCATCATCTCGTGCCATCCTTACAACCACCCCCTGTTACAGATGAGGAAACTGAGGCTCAGAGAGGTAAGGTTTACCCCAGGCAGGGCCAGTCTGGGCACTGGGGGCCTAAATGAGGTGATGTGGGAAAAACACCAGCGGAACAGTTAGCAGGCAGAGGAGATAAACATGATATTTATTCACCAACAGTAATTTTTTTAAAAAGATTAATTTTATTTATTTATTTTTTATTTTATTTTATTTTTTTGACAGGCAGAGTGGACAGTGAGAGAGAGAGACAGAGAGAAAGGTCTTCCTTTACCGTTGGTTCACCCTCCAATGGCCGCCGCGGCCTGCGGCCTGTGTGCTGCGGCCGGCGCGCTGTGGCCGGTGTGCTGCGGCCGGCGCACCGCGCGGATCTGATGGCAGGAGCCAGGTGCTTCTCCTGGTCTCCCATGGGATGCAGGGCCCAAGGACTTGGGCCATCCTCCACTGCACTCCCTGGCCACAGCAGAGAGCTGGCCTGGAAGAGGGGCAACTGGGACAGAATCCGGCGCCCCAACCGGGACTAGAACCCGGTGTGCCGGCACTGCTAGGTGGAGGATTAGCCTAGTGAGCCGTGACGCTGGCAAAAGATTAATTTTTTTAATTGAAAGGCAGAGTTACAAAGAGGCAAAGGCAGAGAGAGAGAGAGAGAAAGAGAGGACTTCCATCCGTTGTTTCACTCCCCAGATGGCTGCAATGGCCAGAGCTATGCTGATCTGAAACCAAGAGCCAGGAGCTTCTTTCTGGTCTCCCACATGGATGCAGGGGCCCAAGCACTTGGACCATCTTCTACTACTTTCCCAGGTTGTAGCAGAGAGCTGGATTGGAAGAAGAGCAGCGGGGACTCAAACCAGTGCCCATATGGGTTGCTGCCGCTGCCACAGGCGGAGGCTTAGCCCTCTACACCCCAGCGCCGGCCCCATGTGTAACATTTAACAGATGCTCTGGGGGCCGCTGCCCTGGCACAGTGGGTTAAAGCCCTGGCCCGAAGTGCTGGCGTTTCGTATGGACGCCAGTGCTGCTCTGAGCAGTAGAAGATGGCCCAAGTCCTTGGGCCCTTGCACCCACATGGGAGACCCAGAAGAAGCTCCTGGCTCCTGATTTTGGATTGGCTCAGCTCCGGCCTGTTGCGGCCATTTGGGGAGTGAACCAGTGGAAGGAAGACCTCTGTCTCTGTTTCTACCTCTCTCTGTAATTCTTTCAAATAAATAAAAGAATAATTGTTTTTTTTTTTTAAAGATGCTTATTGTTTATATTGTGTTTTCACACCTCCCAGTGTGTGATAGATGCCAGCAAATGGACCTCATTTGGGTCAGGCCTCTGGGGTCATCGGGAGTCAGAGAGGGGGTGGTGTGGGCCACGTTCTAGGTGGTTCAGCTTTGAGGTTTGGCCAAGTCGGGAGGAGCAGAGACCTTGCATCTCTGGCCCATGCACTTGCATCTGTCAGTCCCTTCACCAGGACACCGCAGGCCATGGCACTGTGTTGGGTCTGCTGAAGCCAGTGCAAACCAAGTTAACACCATTTCATAGGAATGTCATTTCCCTGCTCCCTCAGGTGACTGCCTAGGGGACGTGCAGGGCTGACCCTTGCTTTCCAGATAAGCCTCTGACCTTTGCCCTGCCAGCAGCCTGGTCACCAGCCAGCCCCTGGCTGGTGGTCACCACGTGCTGTGTTTGGTAGGCTGCACCTACACAGGCAGAATCTTCTACAACAACGAGACCTTCCCATCAGTGCTGGACCCGTGTCTGAGCTGCATCTGCCTGGTAAGAACCACCCAGACGTGACCCCTGTCTCCAGACAGGCCTCAGACCCCTGGGCCCCCGAGACAAAAGCCAGGGGCCTCCCAGCAAAAGGTCATGGCTGGCTCAGGGTGAAAGCCCCCTACCTGCCCAGTGGGACTCTGGAGTCAGGACCAGAGACTTTCTTGTCCCGGATACCAGTGTCCTGTGCTTCTGGGTTACCAGGGAGAGTCTTGGGGTCAGTTCCTTGCAGGAGAACAAGGGGTCCAGGGATTCTGAGAGTAGAGGTGGGGCATGCCTTCCAGAATCTACTGGACAGACTCCCATTGTCGAGCTCTTGCTGGGTGCCAGTCCCTGTGCTAAGCCCTTGATAAGGCATGGCCTCAGTTATCCATCAGAGAATTCTGTGGCATGGGTGCCACCATCACCATGTTCTGCTAGATGACAAAACTCAGGCACAGGAAGACACAATCATTGATTCAAGGTTCCATACCAGTTCATCAAACTGCCAAGGATTGAATCCGAGTATTCTGACAACAGCATGTACAAAGAAAAAAGTTCCTGAGGGGCCTGGTGTTTGGTGTAGTGGCTCAGAGACCTCTTGGGATGCCTGTGTCCCATATTGGAGTACTAGTGTTGAGTACTGGCTCTGGTTCTGACTGCAGCTCCTTCCTAATGCACACCCTGGGAGGCAGCAGATAATGGCTCAAGTAACTTGGGTCCCTGCCACCCACATGGGAGACCAGGTTGATTTCTGGGCTCCTGTGTTTGGATCTGGTCCAGCCCTGGCTGTTGCAGGCAACTGGGGAATGAACCAGTGATTGGAAGATCTTTCTCTGTCTATTTCTGTATGCATTTCAAATAAAAATGCAAATAAAAATTTTTTAAAAAATATTTATTTATTTGACGGAGTTACAGAGAGAGGGAGAGATAGAGAGAGAGGTCTTCCATCTGCTGGCTCACTCCCCAAATGGCTACAATGACTAGGCCTGGGCCAGGCCCAAACCAGGAGCCAAAAACTCCATCTGGGTCTCCCACGTGGCTACGGAGGCCCAAGCACTTGGACCATCTTCCACTGCTTTCCCAGGTCATTATCAGGGAACTGGATCAGAATTGGAGCAGCTAGGACTCTAACTGGCTCCTATATGGGATGCCAGGCACAAGGCAGATGCTTAGTCTACAATGTCACAGCGCTAGCCCCTAAAAAAATATTTTGAAATTCATAAAAAAAGGAATAAAAATTTTGTGCAAAATTTTTGAAATCTATGCAAACATGGGATCTTTAAAATGTTGTGGAAGATGCATATTATGCAGAAGCATCAATTTCAAAACTTTTTTGCACCAAACATTTTTTTTTTTTTTTGACAGGCAGAGTGGACAGTGAGAGAGAGAGACAGAGAGAAAGGTCTTCCTTTGCTGTTGGTTCACCCTCCAATGGCTGCCGCGGCCGGCGCGCTGCGGCTGGTGCATCGCGTGCTGGTGCACCGCGTGCTGATCCGAGGCCGGGAGCCAGGTGCTTCTCCTGGTCTCCCATGCGGGTGCAGGGCCCAAAAACTTGGGCCATCCTCCACTGCACTCCCGGGCCACAGCAGAGAGCTGGCCTGGAAGAGGGGCAACCGGGACAGAATCAGGCACCCCGACCGGGACTAGAACCCGGTGTGCCGGCACTGCAGGTGGAGGATTAGCCTATTGAGCCACGGCGCTGGCCTGCACCAAACATTTTTATTCCATGTTTCATGAACTTTTTAAAAATATTATTCATTTATTTGAAAGGCAGGGTTACAGAGAGGCAGAAGCAGAGAGACAGGTCTTCCATCTGCTGGTTCACTCCCCAAATGGCCCCAAAGGCCAGAGCTGGGCCCATCTGAAGCCAGAGCCAGGAGCGTCTTCTGGGTCTCCCACATGGGTGCAGGGGCCCAAGGGCTTGAGTCATCTTCCACTGCTTTCCCAGGCCATAGCTGAGAGCTGGATAGGAAGTGGAGCAGCCGGTACTGGAACCAGCACCCATAGGGATGTCAGCACTACAGGTGGTGGCTTTACCCACTATGCCACAGCCTCAGCCTCTTCATGAACTTTTTGAAGTTTCCATACACATTTCTGACCCCTAAGCCAGACTGCCTCTTTGTGTGAAAACCCGTGGTAGGCAATAGTGTGGTTTAAGATCAGAAAAATGAAACTCGATCCTTCTTCCCTGCTGAGCTGACAATGGTCCTGTGGGTGCCGCAAGTCTCTGGGGTGTTAGCCTCAGCTGTGAATGCGCAGGGAAAGGTACAAGGTCCACACATTGAGAAACTCGGGGCAGTCGTGCGTGTGGCCTCTGAGGCACCCACTGCAGAGTCCCTGTTGGTTCACAGCTGCGTCCTTTGTGGAGCGTTGCTTCTGGGCTCTTCTTTCTCCTGGGTGTTTGGTGCTCACCTTCCTGGGTGGTTCATGCATTGGTTCCGTAGACGTCTGCTGACAGGGGCCTAACAGAGAAGGCCAGGCCCCGCTGTTGTGGGATGTGCGTGTGCCTGTGGGAAGATGGCCACCACTGAGTAATGCCCTCCACCCTGCATGCTGTTTCCTGTGATGTTGGCTGTTCTGATGGGCACCCAGGGGCTGCATGGCCTGTGCCTCCCCCGAGTATCCTTCAGCTGCCCTGAACACGGGCCTTGTGCATTTTCTGTGTCCTGCAGCTGGGCTCAGTGGCCTGTTCGCCAATGGACTGCCCCATCACCTGTACCTACCCTTTCCACCCTGACGGGGAGTGCTGCCCAGTATGCTGGGGTGAGTGAGACCAGCTGCCCCCTGTCCAAGGCTCCCCGGTCGGCCTTGGCTCTCACAGGCTCCCGTGTCCTGTGCCTCTGCAGACTGCAACTATGAGGGCAGGAAGGTGATGAACGGCCAGGTATTCACCTTGGATGATGAGCCTTGTACCCGGTGCACGTGCCAGGTGAGCTGGGCCTGGGAACCTGGGGCTGCGTGGCCAGGGGTCTGCTTCCTGCTAACCACCAGGCCCCTCATCAACAGGCCGTCCTCCCGTGCTGACCTGCACCTCAATGCCTTTGGTTTTGACTGTCTCTCGTTGGTGAAGGTGCAGCCAGATCTGTAGTTTTTATAAGATGGCCCAATTGTTTTCCGGGTGAGGGCCCAGGCACTGCAGTCTCTGTCCCCCTGCTGGTGCAGGATGCCTGGGGTGTCACTGTTCTGGGCAGGCGGGAGGAGCTGGGCTTTCTCACATCGTCCTTCTGTGTCCCCAGCTGGGTGAGGTGAGCTGTGAGAGGATTCCCTGTCAGTGGGCCTGCGCTGACCCCACCCTGCTCTTTGGGGACTGCTGCTCCTCCTGCCCAGGTGAGTGGGTCCTGGGTCCTGGACGCCATCATCTTCCACTGCATCCTGCTTCCCAAAAATACAGCGCCTATACAGTACAGGAGGTAAGAAACCCAGGCTCAAGAGGACCTGTGGCTTGCCACCACGGCGGGGCTCGGGATGCCTCAGTGATGTGGCCCTGGTGTGCTTGCCCTTTGTTTCTCTTTCTTCATCATCTCCTTCCGGAATCTCTTCCTCTTCTTTGGTTTCTTAAGATGTAGGATTTAAACATTTTTTGTGTTTTATTTTTATTTATCTAAGAGATAGAGCTCTTTTAAATGCCGAAGCCAGGAGTCCAGAAACCATCCAGGTTCCCAGGTTGGGGGCAGGGGGCAAAACGCTGGGGCCATCCTCTGCTTTCCCAGGCCCATTAGCAGGAACATCTGGGCTTCCAATCGGAGCTCATACGGGAGGCCAGCCTCACAGGCAGCAGCTTAACTCACTGTACCACAACACAGGCCTTTTGGTGTATTTTAAAATAGAATCACTCTGGGTTTCGGATGTGCCTGATGGCCTTTTTCTCACCCTGTCAGTAACCTCTCTTCTCACACTGCCTCCTCCTCCATTGCTTCTAACACAGCCTCTTCCTTATTTGTCCTCTGTGCATTGAGCCCTGAGGACACACCAGGCTCCTGGCTGAGTTCAACACATTCTTACTAGACTTTATTTTTTTAAAGATTTCTTTATTTGAAAGGCAGAGATAGAGAGCGAGCGAGAGAGGAGAGGAGAGAGAGTGATCTTCCATCTGCTGGTCCACTCCCCCAATGGCTGCAATCGCTAGGGCTGGGCGAGGCCAAAACCAGGAGCCAGGAGCCAGGAGCTTCCTCTGGGTCTCCTACTTGGTGCAGGGAGCTGAATTGGAAGTGGAACAGCTGGAATTTGAACTGGCACCCATATGGGATGCCAACACTTCAGTCGGAGGCTTAATCTTCTGCACCACAGCGCTGGCCCCTAGACTTTTAGAGCAACGTCAGGTTTATGGCAAAATCGAGAAGGAAATAGAGTTCCCATCCTCCCTGTCCCCACACCCCACCGCTTCCCCACTCCCAATATTCCGTACCACAGACAGCTGATGTGGAATTCACACTCAAAGTCTAGTTTGTTAGGGTTTAGGCTGAGACTGTCAGTCCTCAGTTGTCATCATTATGCCCATTTGACAGCTGAGAAGAGGTCCAGGGGAGGTAATGTGCCTTGCACAAGGCCACACCATGAGTCCTGGCAGAGTCACTCTGCTGAGCTGTCCCCTCCATTCGTCTTCTCTCCCCGGAGACAGGAGAGGCTGCCCGCGCAGGGTGCTGGGGCCCCTCCAAGGACAGCACTTGGGTGTTTGTTCCCAGCAGCTTGTCCCGCGCCGCGTCGGCCACCAGGGGGCACCACTGTGCGTCTGTTCCCTCCCTCTCTAGAGTTCCTGTTCGCTGCGGAGGAACGGCAGGGACCAGCGCCTCTTGGCCGCCTGGAGTTGGGCAAAGCCGCGAGGAGTCCCCGAGGAGACGCCACGGCCCCTGTCAACTGCAGCTCCTGCCCGGGGCCCCCGCCAGCACCGCCTGCCAGGCCCGCGCTCCCTCTCCTGCAGCTCCTCTTGGGCACAAACGTATCTGACACGCAGACCTCGCGCTCCGAGCCCTCGGGAGCCCCCGCGTCCACCTCGCCCTCTCCGGGACCGGGACCGGGACCGGGACCGGAGGGCACGTCCCCAGGAGAGCCCGGAGACTCCCAGCCCCCTGCCCTCTCCCCAGGAGCCTCCACGCCACCTCCAGCCCCTCCGGGGGCCCCTTGGCCACCTCCTGTCACTCCAGAGGGCCCCGTCTCAGCCTTGGGGACCCGGACAGCAGCCAGGCGGCCCACTACGCTCCTGGCTGAAGCCTCAGCACTTTCCACGCCGCACTCCGGCCCCTCGGAGACCTCCACGCTGCCCCTCAGGCCTCGCAGACCCGCTCGCCCCGCCTCCAGGCTCCCAGCAGCCCCCGCGGCCGCCCGTGCCCGCTCCCGGCAGCCCCCGGAGGAGACGCCGAACGAGGGGGAAGCCATCTTGTGAGCGGGACCCGCGGCTGGGAGACTCGGGACAGAGGACGCTGTGCCGGCAGCCCCGGGAGCAAACAGGCTGACTACGGGCCGGACCCAGTGGGCACTGCCTGAGGCTCGCTCTGGCGGGCTCCTGGCGGGGACGGCACCCCCACTGCTGGGCGGAAGCTGCTCCCGGAGGCGTTGGCCTAGCGCTGCCGTGGAAGTACTCAGATGTGCGCTCCAGGGTCATCCCTGGACCCCACGGCCGCCTGTGCCCTGCGCAAGGGCGGCCTGCAGAGGAGGAGGCGCAGAAGGGGCCTGGGCTCCCCCCGGGACTGTGCGACCTCCTGATTAGAGGTGGTCTCGGTTTCCCCAGGCCCGTGCTCATTCCCTCCTCACCTGTGGGGAGGGGGGATCCTCACTCCAAACCACAGGTAGTGAAGGAGCTCCCCCCGTTAGCCCCTTGCTGGCAGAGAGTGTGCACCAGGCCAGGGCTGGGCTGGGTGGGGTCTCCTGTGAGCCCCCGGTGGCCTCTGACATTGGGAGACCCCTAGAGTGAGAGGGGTACTCTGCCCAGGGCTCTGCGATGGGTCCCTGGGCGGGGCGGGCTGTGTTTTATGTTTTAGGCCTGTCCTCCTTAGGAACACCTGTGGGCAAGAAAGCAGCAGACGGGAGGAGGGGCCAGGCTGCGCATAGGCCCAGAGCCCTAACCAAGCCCCTCCTGAGCTCAGAGGTGGGGGGGTGGGTGAGTGGCTGGGGCAAGGACACAGGATTTGTACCCCTGCCTCCGCCTGTGTTGAGGAGGGACGTTGCCCTCCATGTCCTTGAGTTCCATATCCACACATTCAACCAACTGCACATCGGAAGCAGACGTTTTTTCCTGATCATTATTCCCTAAACAACATAATAACTATTTGCATAGCATTTACATTGTGTAAGGGTCTTCCAATATTTGTGAAAAGTGAAATTAAAAGATAAGTTTTATTTTGGTGCAAAAAATATTTAGTAGTTTTAAAAAATACTTCTTTCTTTGTTTAAAAGGCAGAGACAGAGAGGGAGAGAGGAAGTCCCCAACTTCTGATGCACCCCCAAGTGCCCACAACAGCAGGGGCCAGCCCGAAGCCAGGAGCTGTGAATTCAATCCAGGTCTCCCACGTGGGAGGCGGTGCTCCGAGTATTGTTGCCTTCCAATATGCAGCTTAGCAAGAAGCTGGAATCAGGAGCAGAGCCAGGACTTGAACCCAGGTACTCTGATATGGGATGTGGGTGTCCCAGGTGTGTCTTAACTGTGATGGCAATTGCCTGCTCCCAAGATGTATTTTTTTTTTCTGTCTGAATTGTTATTTATTTGGAAGGCAGAGGGAGGGAGAGAGAAAGAGAAAGATATTTTGCATACTGGTTCACTCCCTGAATGTCTACAGCAGCTGTGGCCAGGCTGCAGAGCAAGCTCAGTTAGGGTCTCCTGTGTGGGTGGCAGGGATCCAGTTACTTGGGCAGCTTCTTCTGGAGTTCAGAGGGACAGCTGACAGCGGGTGCCATGACCACATCAACTATTTTTGGGTTCCTCCAAAGCAGAGCTAAGATAAATGCTTGGGTGAGAGTCATGGGAAGAAGGCCAATCAGTGTGTTAATGAGCCACTCACGGCTATGGGCGCTCAGTCCTGCTGGGACCGACTGGGGACTGCATCACCCAACCTCAGGACTCTCAAGGGTGTGAGATGCAGGGGCAGTTGTCCTAGTCTTGTTCCTCACTCTTGGAGGCCTGCAGTACTGCTCATCTGGTTTTTATTACTCTAAGGAAATCCCTGAGGAAAGGAAATGTTTTAGAGAAAAGCAGTTAATTGGGCTCAAGGGCAAGGCCCTTGGATGGGCTCGGTTCTTGTGAGAACTTTCTTGGTAGAGACCTGGGGCAGTGTATGGCATGACATAGCAAGAGATGTGTTGTATGCAGGTCGGTGTCTCTATCTGTCCCTCCTCCCTGAACACCGTAGTCTTGAATGTGTGTCCATTCCCTTCATACCGTGGACATATGACTGGAGATTAAAGTGCTGTGTCAATGGGCTGTGAGAGGAGAGACCATGTTGAGACGTGGCACAGGCTCCTCCAGGACTCACAGACTCCTCACAGACTCCGCCAGGAGTGCAGCTAGCCCACCCAAGGACCCAGCGTGCTTCCTTTTCACAAGAAGGTTCTTGGGAAGGAGGTGCAGGACCCATCTGCAGGGGACCTTGGGTTGGGTCACAGCTTCCCAGGGATGTGGAAGACATGCTGTACCCCTGGGACGTCCCCATGTGCAGGGTTCCCTGCCCAGGACTGGCTGCTGCTAGAGAGCTCCAGACCCTCATTAGGACTCCAGCTGGGTGCAAACTGCTCTTGCTGGGAGGAGCTCAGGTCTGAATTCTCTGCAGCCTGGGCGCCAATGGGCATGAGGGATTGAGACACCCCATTTTTTTGTGACCTTGGCTCCCACTTCTAGGGCTCTGGAAATAGTATGAGATGAGGGGTTGACGTCAGAAGCCTGTTCCACTCTGTCAGTTTTCCTGACCCCGGAGCTGCCCCAAAGCCAAGTGATCAGAACTGTTTCAAAAGGCATGGTTTTAAGGATGAGTATTTGTCCTAACAGCTAAGTATTTGTCCCACCTGGCTTGGATTCTCAGCTCCCAACTGGCAGCTTCCTGCTAAATGCAGACCCCTGGAGGTAGTGGTGTTGTCAGCATATGGAAAGGCGTGGAGGTGGAAAAAAGCCTAAGCTAGTTGCAGAGTGGGAAGATGACCAGTGTGGTGGGTGCTTAGGGTGAGGGGATCAAAGTGCAGGAGGGAAGGTACCCAGGAACCAGGAAGTTCAAGCCAAAGGTGTGTTGTATCCCTAGTGGAATTGCAAGGCATTCATTGGCTTTTTAAGCAAGGGAAAGATGTGACCAACTTTGTTTAAAAAAGATCGCGAAGCTGTGACAAATCGGTCGAGAGGGTGAGACTGACGCACTGGGGAGACCTGAGACACTGCTGGGTGGTAGAGCTCACCGTAACCCTTTGCAGAGGCCAGCACCAGCCTTTGGGCCAGCATCTCCAGCAGAGAATTTGGGCAGCTGTAGATTGAGGCAGGCGTCATGGGAATTTTTCCAGTGTGCTTGCCGAAGAGCACCGGACTAGTAAGTAGGTTTCCTAGCTCAAGGGGTGTAATGGACATCAAGTGAAGGAGAGAAAGATCACAGCAGGACTCGTCAGAGTCTGATTGGCACCTGGGCCTGGTGAACTTTGAAGAAAGACCTAGAACATAGTATGTTCCATACTTATTTTGAAGCTGTGTTTTTAATGAAACGTTTTGCAACCAAACCCTCTTAGAGGAATGTTGCTCTAAATTCTTCCCTTGTGTTTCCAGGGCTTACATGCTAATGGGCATCAACCCATTATCCACAACCTAAAGTGAAGTAGGGAGGTGGATTATTAAATTTTTCTGGTTCTCGCCTTGTACCTAGAGAAGCATTCTAAATGCATGTAAGATTCATGAAGTATTAAGATTTTATTTAAAAGGTGAGAAAGTGAACACACACACACGTGAGTGTGGATTGCCCAGCACAGAGGTACCCATCACGAGTGAGCAGTGGTCTCAGAGAAGGGTAGGTGGAGGAGGCAGAGAAAGAACACCCAGCACCTCCTTCAGTCACAGTGTGGCAGAAGAGAGTGCTGCCCGTTGGCCTCTTTTATGAGGTTGACAGGAGTGCCTCTATGGGCAAGAAGTCACCCGGGAGTTTTATGATACCTCCATGAAATTCTAGGTGGATGTTGGTATATATAACTTAATTGTACCTTCTCTCAAGTTCTGAATGAAACAGATGAATCCTGGAGAGGGGGGCTTTTTGATCGACAAGTAGGAGGATAGTGTTACACATGGCCTGGGGGTTGTGATTTCCAAGTACTTCCAGCTCATTAGATCCTGTACTAGCTACCTGTCCCATATCCTTCCACCCTCAGAGGTTTCTTTCTTTTTTTTTTTTTAATATTTATTTTATTATTTATTTGAAAGAGTTAGACCTCTCTCTCTCTCTCTCTCCCCCGAGAGAGGTCTTCCATCTGCTGGTTCACTCCCCAATTGGCTGCAACGGCCAGAGCTGCACCAATCGAAAGCCAGGAGCCAGGAGCATCTTCCGGGTCTCCCCTGTGGGTGCAGGGGCCCAAGGACTTGGGCCATCTTCTACTGCTTTCCCAGGCCATAGCAGAGAGCTCAATCAGAAGTGGAGCAGATGGGACTTGAACCAGCGCCTATATGGGATGCCGGCACTGGAGGCGGCAGCTTTACCTGCTATGCCACAGCGCCAGCCCTGCTCAGAGATTTCTGACCCTTAATCTTAAGGGGGTGCTGAGGAATGAAGTTCCATCTTCTATATCTACTGCTGATCAGGGACATGGTCGTGCCTATCCAGGGTTTGGAAACCTCTTCCTATCTAATCTAATGGATCTATCTCACCAGCTGGAGAATTTTTTCAGTCACTTCCAGTGGCTGTTGTTTGAATTGTCTTCATTATCCTGAGAAGCTTTTAAATTCTTCTTCTTCTTCTTTTCTTCTTAAAGATTTATTTATTTGAAAGGCAAAGTAGAGATAGAGAAAGGGAGAGATGGACAGGTCTCACATCTGCTGGTTCACTCCCCAAATGGGTGCGATGGCTGGGGCTGGGCTTGGCTGAAGCTGGGAGCTTCTAGGTCTGCCATGTGGGTGCAAGGGCTCAAGTACTTGGGCCTTCCTCTGCTGCATTCCCAGGCACATTAGCAGGGAGCTGGATTGGAAATGGAGCAGCTGGAACTCAAACTGGTACCCATATAGGATGCTAGTGCAGCCAGCAGCTTAACCCATTATGCCACAAGGATAGCCCCTAGGCTTTTAAATTCTGAAGAAGACAAATTTACCAATCAGAATAAGCATAATTGGAAAAATGGTAAATTGCAGGTAGAATATCCTTTAAGAAAGGAAAAGTATATTCTATTTCCTAAACAGTTGGTGCTGATAGATTGTGAAGATTACAAAACCATCTTGCCTAGGCATAAAGATTTGTAATATCTTTTTTCACTGAACATAATTCTCTTTGAAGTATCTGTGACAGATTCCATTAATCACTGCACATGCTCCTTATTCTATCAGTATATATTCTATGGCTAGTTGGTTTCCATGACTACCTTAGAACATCCACAGACTTGAGTACTTGCAGTGAGAGCTGGCTAGAAGCATAGGCTGGTTTGCCCCAGGCAATAGACAGAGTTTTAAACATGGCTTCACAAGGCCTAGCTGGGTTCCCTGATATTATGGTAGAAGGATTCACTAGGGAGTTTTCCTGCCAATAGCACCTTCCTGAAAGAATCAGCGGAAGAGGTAGGTAAAACATGCCTGTTGTAAAGTGCAGCAGGCTTAATTTGACAAAAGCCGAGGCCTTACTTATCTTTTTCTTCTTCAAGAGGTATTTGAAGTCTTCAGTTGGTTCACAAGCAAAGGCAGAATTGTCCTCTGTGTGTTCCTGTGAATACTGGAGAGGTGGAAGTGTAATTCTTGGCGAATGTGCCCAGTTTGGATGCCCTGTCATTTGACTGTAGTAGGAGTGCTCAGTAGCACTTAGTAGGTCTCTTCCATTAGGTTGTAATTGATCAGAAGGGGATCCTTCCTTCCAAGTTTTTAATACAGCTGGGTCTCCTGGAGAGAGAGACTTTTGGGATCTGGCACTGGGAGAATTTTGTTACTACGCCCCATCAGAGCCTTCTGTACCTGGCCTGGATTGAATTGTGCTTCATCTGGTGTTGAGTTTCTGTGTTAAAGAGGATGTTGGCAGTGAGGAAGGGCCTTCCATATAACATTTCAAGTGGACTAAGTTTTAAAGCAGCGTTAGGTGCCATTCTCACCCTGAAGAAGGCAGTAGGCAATAACTTAAGTAAAGCAAGGTGGTTTTTTTTTTTTTTTTTTTTTTTTCCTAGAACCTCCTGTGCAGCAGCTCTTTTTGCTGCCTTATCTGCTGGTATTTTTCTTGCTAACATGACTGTCTTTCTTCTGGGGTCCCTGTAGTGAATGACAGCCACTTCTGAAGGTTCTAGTACTGCCTGAAGGAGAGTTAATTTCTCTTTTTCATATTTAATAGGAGCACTCTTTGTAGTCAGTAGGCCTCTTTTGCTCCAAATTGCTGCATGTGCCATGCAAGGAAAGCATCTTGTTTGGAGTGTGTATATGTACAATTTTTTTTAAGATTTTATTTATTTATTTGAGAGATAGAGTTAGAGACAGAGCGAGAGAGAGACAGGGAAAAAGGTCTTCCATCTGCTGTTTCACTCCCCAAAGAAACCAAGAGCCAAGAGCTTCTTCCGGGTCTTCCATGTGGGTGCAGGGGCCCAAGCACTTGGACCATCTTCCACTGCTTTCCTAGGTGTGTTAGCAGAGAGCTGGATTGGAAGAGGAACAGCTGGGACACAAACTGGCATCAATATGGGATACTCATACCACAGGTAGAGGCCCAACCCACTTTGTCACAGTGCTGGCCCTGGAGTCTATAAATATTAACTTTTTGACCTTTTCCGAATTGCAAAGCTCTGGTCACAGCAATAAATTCAGCCTTTTGAGCTGAAATTTTAGATGACAGTGCCCAAGCTTCTGTCACCTGAGTAAGATCCACTGTGGCATAAACTGCCTTTCTGTCTCCTTCCTTCATGAGGCTACTGCCATCAGTAAGCCACTCAACATCTGGATTTCCTTTCTTTTTTTGAAGATTTGTTAATTGATTTTTTTTTTTTTTTTTGACAGGCAGAGTGGACAGTGAGAGAGAGAGACAGAGAGAAAGGTCTTCCTTTACTGTTGGTTCACCTTCCAATGGCCGCTGCGGCTGGCGTGCTGCGGCCGGCGCACCACGCTGATCCGAAGCCAGGAGCCAGGTGCTTCCTCCTGGTCTCCCATGCGGGTGCAGGGCCCAAGGACTTGGGCCATCCTCCACTGCACTCCCTGGCCACAGCAGAGAGCTGGCCTGGAAGAGGAGCAACTGGGACAGAATCCAGCGCCCTGACCGGGACTAGAACCCGGTGTGCTGGCGCCGCAGGCAGAGGATTAGCCTATTGAGCCACAGCACCACCGGCCTGTTAATTGATTTGAAAGGCAGAGTTAGAGAAGGGGGGAGAGAGGGGGGAGAGGGAAGAGGGAAGAGGGGAGAGGAGAGAGGAGAGAGAGAGATTGTCCATCTTCTGATTCACTCCCCAAATGGCTGCAATGGCTGGGGCTGGGCCAGGCTGAAGCCAGAATCCAGGAGCTTCATCCAGGTCTCCCACATGAGTGGCAGGGGCCCAGGCACTTGGGACATCTTTGGCTGCTTTCCCAGGTGCATTAGCAGGGCGCTGGGTTGGAAGCTGAGCAGCCAGAACACGAACTGGCACCTATATGGGATACAGACAGCACTTAACCTGCTATGTCACAGCACAAGCCCCTCTTTTTTTCTTTTTAAATTTATTTATTTGAAATGCAGAGTTACAGAGAGGCAGAGGCAGAAAGAGGTTTTCCATGCACTGGTTCATTCCCCAGAGGGCTGCAATGGCTGGAGCTGTGCCGATCCGAAGCCAGGAGCTCCTTCCGGGTCTCCCACATGGGTGCAGGGTCCCAAGCACTTGGGCCATCTTCTACTGCTTTCCCAGGCCATAGCAGAGAGCTGGATGGGAAGTGGAGCAGCCAGGTCTCCACCAGCGCCCATATGGGATGCTGGCACTGCAGGTGGCAGCTTTACCTGCTATGCCACAGTGCCACCCCAGTAGCCCTTTTTTTTTTTTTTTAACAAAGTTTTTTTGAATTATTTATTTGAAAAAGAGAGATTGAGATCTTCCATCTGCTGGTTCATTCCCCAAATACTGCAGTATTTGGTCCCTGGGCTGGAACAGGCTGAGGGCAGGAGCCAGGAACCTCTTGTAGGTCTCTCATGTGTATAGGGGCCCAAGCACTTGGGCCATCTTCCACTTCTTTCACAGGCACATTAGTTGGGAGCTGGATCGGAAGTGGGGCAGCTAGGACTCAAACTGGCACACATATGGGATGGCACATGTGGTGACTTAATCTGCTATGCCAGAATGGTAGCCTTAACTTCTGGATTTTCTAGCAGTTCATGTTGTACAATAGACCTACTGGAATACACCTGCTCTATGATCTCTACACAGGAGTGAGTCTTTTGGTACTTTCAGATGGCAATAGAGTACCTGGGTTGAGGACTTAGCATACCTTGAGAGTTACCTCATGAGAGTCTAATAAGAGACCTGGGGCCGGCGCCGCGGCTCACTAGGCTAATCCTCCGCCTAGCGGCGTCGGCACACGGGGTTCTAGTCCCAGTCGGGGCGCCGGATTCTGTCCCGGTTGCCCCTCTTCCAGGCCAGCTCTCTGCTGTGGCCCGGGAGTGCAGTGGAGGATGTCCCAAGTGCTTGGGCCCTGCACCCCATGGGAGACCAGGAAAAAACACCTGGCTCCTGGCTCCTGCCATCGGATCAGCGCAGCGCGCCGGCCGCGGCGGCCATTGGAGGGTGAATCAACGGCAAAAGGAAGACCTTTCTCTCTGTCTCTCTCTCTCTCACTGTCCACTCTGCCTGTAAAAAAAAAAAAAAAAAAAGAGAGAGACCTGGAATATCGTGAGATGAACTCCTGTTAGCCACTGATGTACTTTAATTTCTAAAAATCTTTATAGCTGGTATGGAGCTTGAGTTTCGAGTGGCTGACCTAAACTCTGCTTGGTGGTTTTCTCTACCAAAGTGCTCTAGCAGCAACTGGCTGTGTGTGCAGGCCATCCTGCAGCCACTGAATCTAGCTGTTTAGAAAAGTAGGCCACGCAGTGCTGTGGTGTAGTGGGTAAGGCAGCTGCCAGCAGTGCCGGCATCCCATATGGGCACTGGTTTGAGACCTAGCTGCTCCACTTCTGATCCAGCTCTCTGCTATGGGCTGGGAAAGCAGTAGAAGATGGCCCAAGTCCTTGGGCCCCTGCACCTGTGTGGGAAGACCCGGAGGAAGCTCCTGGCTCCTGGCTTCAGATCAGCGCAGCTCTAGCTGTTGTGGCCAACTGGGGAATGAACCAGCGAATGGAAGACCTCTCTCTCTCTGCCTCTCCTTTCTCTGTGTAACTCTGACTTTCAAATAAATAAATGAATCTTAAAAAAAAAAGAAAAAGAAAAAGAAAAGTAGGCCATGGACTGTGGAAGTGGTCCCAATTTCTAAGTCATTATACCAAGAACTACCCCTTGTTTCTCCACCACAAATAGAATCAGTGGCTTGTCTGGGTTAGAGATTCCTAGTGCTGGAGCTTCTGTTACTAGCTCTTTAATCCTTTGGCTTCCTGTTGCTCTCCTGTCCGGTAAAGTGGGTCCTTGTCAGGACCCTTAAAGCCTCATATAACTGTTTGGCTATCAACCCAAGTCCTGGAATCCATATTCTATACAATCCCCAGTCTTGAGGATCTACTCTTTCATTTTAGTGGGAAGATGATCCTCATTGGGTTCTGCCTCAGTGCACGCTAACATCGTAACTAAGGACTGACAGTTGGTATCTCTTCTAAAGCAAAGGAGTTGGACATTTGGACATCACCCAAAACTGGTGAGAGAGAAGAATGTTCTCTATCTGATACACAAAGGATAAAGTAAATCTTTGAGAGTGAGGTTTACCATAAACTCCCATAATAATACAACCGGTTGAGAATAGGGGTCCAGCATAAGAAGTTAGTACAGAGTTAAGTGGCCCCAGTGTCAGTTACGAAATTAACATGCTTACCTGCAGTCTCCGTACTCCTCCAAGGATATTGGCATGAGATGTTTATTTCCTCAGGAGCCACCTGAGTCTCCAGGGCCATCGGTCTTCAGATAAGGCCATGAGCAGAGGGACAGTCCCTTTTCCAGTGACCACTTTTCTTACACTGGGGACATGGACTAAGGAGGTCCTTAAGAGGAACACTCTTTATGCCAGTGTCCTGCTATCCACATCTAAAGTACCCGCTTGCCATGACAGGTTGCCTGTTGGGCTGACCCCAAGGTTGCTATGTGTTGGTAGCAGGAATTGCTGTCCTGTTAGCCTGCTGCCTGGACTGCTTCCCACGCTGGAGTATTTACGTTTCAAGCCTGTCACTGTTGTTAAAGACTTCAAATGGTATTTCTCTCTCTCTGTCTTCTCTTTTCTCTTCTCTTCGATTTATTTATTTGAAAACATTACAGTGAGAGAGAGAGAGAGAGAGAGAGAGAGAGATCAATCTCCCATCCATAGCTTCACTCCCCAGATGGCCACAACAGCCAGGGCTCAGCCAGGCCAAAGGCAGGAGCCAAGAGCTTCACCTACATCTCCCACAGGGTTGGCAGGGACCAGACATTTGGGCCATCTTCTGCTACTTTTCCCAGGCCATTAGCCTAGAGCAGGATTGGAAGTGGAGCAGCTGGGACTTGAACTGGTGCCCATATGGGATGCTGGTGGTGTACCTACTACGCCACAAGGCCAGCCCTGAAATACTGTTTCTACCAGTCGTCTCATGGGGATTTGAGGTGCCCTGACCAGTTTCTGAAGCTTCCTTCTAATATCCACCTGCTGCCTGACTGATGAAATGAATACCAAGTAAAGTCTAGCGTTCAGGGGATCAGGATCCACGTTAGTATATTTCTTTAATGCATCTACCAGCTGTCCCTGAAACAAGGCTGAGTTTTCTTCTGCCCCGTTACCTCTCTGATTTTATCATTATTTATAGGACTGATAGTACATTTCTTCATCCTTGCCAATAGGCATGAAAACATATGATCTCTTATCTGTTAATCCTCATGTCACTTCTGATAATTCCAATCAGGAGCAACTGTTGTGACTGCTGAGACCCCATAGCAAAATACCCAGGATCCTGAGCCGCCAGAGCATCAGCGTGGCTTTGAGCCTCAGCCGACATAACACTGTTTGTCTTTAGTGTTACAAACGTGTAAGTCAGTCCAAGTTAGGTCACAGAGTTAGGGCCTCAAACTCATTGGTAAATCTAGGAGGGCCCTTTAAAAATCTTTCTAGATTTTTTAAAAAAGATTTTATTTACTTGAGAGGTAGAGTTACAGTGAGAGGGAGAGAGAGAGAGAGAAAGGTCTTCTGTCTGTTGGTTCACTCCTCAAATGATTGTAACGGCTAGATCTGAAGCCAGGAGCCAGGAGCCAGGAGCTTCTTCCCGGTCTCCCATGTGGGTGCAGGGACCCAAGGACTTGGGCCATCTTCTACAGCTTTCCTAGGCCACAGCAGAGAGCTGGATTGGAAGAGGAGCAGCCAGGACTTGAACCGGCGCCCATATGGGATGCCAGCACCGCAGGTGGAGGATTAACCTCCTGTGTTATGGCGCCGGCCCCTAGGTTTTTTTTTTTTTTTTTTTTAAATGTTGTTTTAAATCAGATGTGGTGAAAGGGACACATACTCTAATTGTCCCAACTGCACTGCTACTTCTCACAAAAGACAGGATCCCCACTTTTGGCTGCTAAGGAACCCCACTGTGAGTAATCCTGGTTGTCCTCTGGTAAAGGGGGACAGAGAGTCAAAAGGTGGAGGTGGTAGAATGACAGAAGTTAAAGAGTCAGGTTCTGAAGGTACAGGATGATATCTGCTGTCCTTTGGAGATGATCCTGGTGTTGGAACTTTTTTGCTTGGGAAGGTTGAGGACTTGCTAATAACGGGTCATCTATGAAATCTATTGGTTGTTCCCTTGTCTTTGGAAGAGTAGCAGGGTCGTGATATAGCCCACTACCCTTTTCATGAGTAAAATGTTGATATAGTGCCATAAAGCCCTATACAAAAGCAACTTCTGACCATTTTTATTGTTCTTTAAAATAGAGGTCAAGTTCTGAAACAGTATTAGAGTTAAGATTCCCATTCATTGGCCATGTTTCTCCATTTCTCAGCTTACAATTTGGCCAAAGAATATTACCAAGGAAAACCAGCTTATGACACCATTCAGTTTAAGAGCTTCTCAGTGATTAAATGTGCATCCTATGGGTGTTAGCCGTAACCGAGTCTGTAACTTGGGAAGACAAAAGTTAAGAAGGGCTCAGTGTAAATTCAGTTATGCTTAAGCATATGGCTTAATGTCTTGTATTAGATACATTTTGATGCCTTGGAAACTATGTTTGAAACCCAAACTGGGGTTTTCTGTTTCAGCCCACCTCTGGGGGCTGGGGAGGGGTGATTCCCTTTAGGTTGAGCTGAATCTGGGGTATTATTATGGAAAGCTATAGATACACACGGACCCACAGAACCTATAGTAAACTGGCCACCAGGGGGTGCTGCTGTGTTGCTGAGGCACCAGTTTACCACAGGAGGCAAATTTTTTTTTTTAAAGATTTATCTATTTATTTGAAAGTCAGAGTTACTCAGAGAGAAGAGAGGAGAGGGAGGGAGGGAGAGAGAGAGAGAGGCAGAGAGAGAGAGGGAGGGAGAGGGAGAGGGAGAGAGGTCTTCCATGCGCTGGTTCACTCCCCAATTGGCTGCAATGGTTTGGGCTGCGCCAATCTGAAGCCAGGAGCCAGGAGCTTCTTCCGGGTCTCCCAAAAGTGGGTGCAGGGGCCCAAGGACTTAGGCCATCTTTTACTGCTTTCCCAGGCCATAGCAGAGAGCTGGATGGGAAGTGCAGCGGCTGGGACTTGAACTGGCACCCATATGGGATGCTGGTGCTTTAGGCCAGGGTGTTAACCCACTGCACCACAGCACAGGATCCCTACCTGGAGGCAATTAACGCATGTATGATTGGGCTTTTTTCCTAGCACCCCAAATGCCCTTGGGGCCATGACTACTGCTGCTAGTGATTTTGACTTCTAAGGGATATTGTACCTTAGTCTGGGAGGTTATCCTCCAGGATGATAGAAGCCAGCGTATGGCTGAAACCAGCTGTCAAAATTTTAGCTTAAACCCACCTTGAAGCTTTTTGTACCCTGAGAATCCTGGGGGTCTTACTATAACGTACATTGAATTTTTCGACCTTAAGAGGCATTGAACCCCTACCTGAAGATACCCATATCTTCAGATGTTGGAGTTGAGAAATCTCCATGTTACACTGAAAATTCTAACTCTTGCCAACCAAGCAGGTGTGTGCAAAAATGCATGGAGGTCACCATATGGGGGACAGGTTTCCCACCCATCGACTTGCAAAAATGATTGGGGATTGAGGGGGGTCCCACTAGAGGCCATGATTATGGGAGCAGAAGTCCCTCCACAGCTGGGTGTGGAACCTCTACCATATTTGGAAGTCCTGCCTCCTGACACCTGGCATGGTAATCAGGCAATAGAAACTATTTGATCACTTCTCTTTCCAGAGAGGTGAAAGAGTGGAATTAGTGAGTGAAAGTTGTGTGAGCCCACCAGTTTTTTTTTTTTTTCAAGATTTATTAATTTATTTGAGAGGCAGAGTTACAGGGATAGGGAGAGACTGAGAGAAAGGTCTTCCATCCTCTGGTTCACTCTCCAGATGGCTGCAACACCTGGAACTTGGCTGATCCAGAGCCAGGAGCTTCTTTTAGTCTTTGACATAGATGCAGGGGCCCAAGCACTTGGGCCATCTTCTGCTTTCCCAGGCCATTAGCAGGGAGCTGGGTTGGAAGTAGAGCAGCCGGGACTCAAACTGGTGCCTATATGGGATGCTGGTGCTGCAGGCGGAGGCTTGGTCTACTATGCCACAGTGCTGGCCCAAGCCCATCAGTCTTAGGGGAAAAACCTTAATTTGAATCCTTAAGACAGAACTAATCCACCACGTGTAGTCCATCCATGGATGCTAAATGCTGTGTGGCAGCTTGTCATACAGAAACAATTAACTATGAAATATACTACAAACTGTGGGTATTTGTAAATTACAATGAGTGCATATAGATAATCTGCCCTATTCCTGATTTTCCATAGGAATCCCCTTAACACTAACAGTTTCTTGCAATTCCTCCCCTGCACATGATAGCATTAGCAGCAAAGGCATTTACATTTACACATCTTAACAGAGCTGCCCAAACAGCAAGAGCAGTGAATTGGGGGAGAGATGTATTAAGATTTCATTTATCCAGGAACCTCATGTGAATGAGAGAGATTTAGTTACCCCACTGGTGTCTCCTGTCTGGTTTTTTCCAAGCTCCCGCCTGATTAAAATATTTATTTATTTATTTGAAAGTCAGAGTTACTCAGAGAGAGGAGAGGGAGGGAGGGGGGGGAGAGAGAGAGAGAGAGAGAGAGAGAGAGAGGTCTTCTCTCCGCTGGTTCACTCCTAATTGGCTGCAATGGTCAGGGCTGCGCCAACATGACGGGATTATTAAACTTTTCCAGGTTCTTGCCTTGTACCTAGAGAAGCATTCTATGTAAAGGCATGTATAAGGTGCACACAGTTATAAAGTTTAATTTAAAAGGTGAGAAAGCAAGCATACATATACACATACATACATATTCATGTGGAGGGTGGGTTGTCTCATACAGAGAAATGCCCATAATGAATAGTCAATGGACCCAAAAAGAGAAAGGGGTTAAGGGAGGGGAAACAGCACCCAGCACCTCTCCTAGTAATGGTCTCTGGCTGAAGAGAGAGCTCCCCAATTTTTTGGCCTCTTTAAAGAGGTCAGAGTGGG